TACCACCTCCCTTCCGACTGGACCGTGTCTGGCACCCTCCTCCGCCACATCCTCGGTCTCTCACTCATCGCGCTCCACATCTGGTCCGCCCTCTCGTCTTATGAAGTCCTCGGCGCCTATGGATGGTTCTACTCGGATTTCTTCCTCTTCTCGTCCTACCTCCCCTCAGACTTGGCGTACACGGGTATATATCGGTTCTTGAACAACCCCGAGAGGTCTATGGGCGGTGCGGTGTTTCTGGGATGTTGGTTGATGGGTGGGAGCTGGTTGGTCGGGGTATTGGGTGTGGTCAGTCATTTGAGTCATTGGTGGTTCTTGGAATTCGTCGAGGGGTAAGTCTCCTTTGGACCTCTGTTGGGCCGTGCTGACTCAAAGACAGCCCGCATATGCAGAAACTCTACGGCAACCGTCTCCGTAAAGACGGCGGTCTCACCAAAACCCTCAAATCCAACCTTCCCAATTCTACCGCCGTCCGCCAAGCCGTATCCAAGCACCCTCGAGTATCGCGAGTCGTATCTGAAGTCAATAGGGGCATTGAAAAGGTGGAAGAACGGGTCAGGGGCGGGGTTGAAGACTTTTTGGATCATGCGAGGCCGATGTTGGACGGGGTTGTGGACGATGCTAGGGGGCTGTTGCAGCAGTCTAGGGAGAGGATGATCATCACGTAAGTTAATCCTATTGTCTTTCTTGCATGAGTTGACAATAAGACAGTCGCGTGGCCAAGCCCAAGGACCTCACTTCGTTCGACCCGTCTTCCTACTCTCTCCAGATCCCGACCTCTTCGTCGTCTCCTACGCCCTACCCCGCGTTCCACGTTGGCCAGCCCATTCCCATCTCCTGGAATGCCCCTTCGAACCACTCTTCCAAAGACTGGATCGGTATCTACCGACTCGGCAGCTGCAAGAGCGAGATTGTCACAAAGATTTCGAGTGTTGGCAAGTGGGTTGGAGTTTACGAGGAGGAATGGGAGGGTAATGAGCATGTCACGCCGGAGAGTGAGGGTAAGAAGGCGGACGCTGGGATGGTTGTCTTGAAGGGCAAGCAATTGCCTTGGCAGCCGGGACAGTACGAAATTCGGTACCACCACGATGGGAAACACAACGTCATGTCCCGTCTCGCCCCCATCGAGCTCTACGTCGACAAACCTCGTGCTTCTCGTTCTTCCCGCCTGTCTTCTCCCCGTCGTTCTTCCGCATCTCTGTCTTCCTCCCCTTCCAAGTCGGTGAAGACGGCCGAGATTAAGGAGGAAGTCGGTGTGAAGGAGGTGAGGGAGACGATGATGAAACTTGTCTGCCTGGCGTTGGAGGGCGAGGAGGAGCTGGTGCCGAAGGCGGCAAAGGGCAAGGCTGTTATGAGGCTTGCGTCTGTACCCACTGCCGCATCTCAAGTCTCGCCCGGCAAAGCTCTCAACAAGCCCACTCTGTCTTACACGCCCGAGCTCGACGAGGGCGACGAGGGCGAAGACGGCGTTGAAGCCGATGCCGAGGTTGAGGACCAAGGCTCCCTCTTGGGCTCTGGTGTATCCGGAGGAGAGAAGCGAGCTGGAAAGGCTGGGAAGGCGGATAAGAAGGGGAAAGGGAAGAAGGGTGGAGTCGGGATCGAAGACGAGGTGACGCCCACCAAGGATACCTTCTCGCCTAGCAATCTTGCGTCTGCCGACAATCCACACGCTCTCGACCACCTGGCCTCTCTCGCTGACCGGTCTGCCGTCCCCCAACGTTCCATCCTAGGCTTGGCCGACGACGACTCTACTCGCGACCCCGGTATAGACCGCTCTGTCGATTCCGACAGCGACCCCGAACCCGAGGGGGACGATTTCACAATCATGACCGAAACCCAAGCCAAACGCATCGCCACACTCGCCAAGTACGCCTTTGGGGTAGAGCTGGATGCGGATGTGGTAGTGGCGGAGGCGAATGTGGGGGCGTTGGCGAGGAGGGTTGTGGGTGCTTGGAGTTTGGCGGCTGTCTAGCTTCATTCAAACTCGACACTGTGAAGGATGTGGCTGGAGATGCCAAAAGAGTGTCTTGAGGAGGAAGTCGGAAATAAGTCATCATTACAATTCTGTTATCACAAAAACACCCCCTTCTTAGACCATAGAATCGATACGCTTTTGCATAGCTTATATGCATATCAAAACTTGCCTGTCTATAGTCCATCGCTACGCACCCTCGCCATCCTCTCGTCACTCTTTGTTCAAAATTCATTCCCAGCACACTCTCCACCTCCCTCATCCCCTCCGCCAGCTCCGCATCGCCCGCGCAGCACCGACCGAGACGATGATGCTTATATCAGAATCGATGAGGCAGAGGCTACCATCTGCTCGCCAGCGGATGTGGTGCGGGGTCGATGTCGCCGTGGACGACTACCCGAGCAGCGTGGATATCCCTCCTCTTTGCGGTCGCGTGGCACTTCCACCAATCTTCTGGGTGGCTGATTCTATCAGAAGAGGAGGAAGGACTGGAGATGAGATGAGGGCATCATCAAGTGGCAAACACTCTCTTCTATCATCATCTTACTACATGCACTTGTCTGATATGCATATCGAAACCCTGCCTGTGGGATGAGGCCCGGGAGGTTGAATTGATAGCGTCTGATTCCGCCATACATAGATGGAGCGCCAAACGGGGGAAACCAGTCAACTCGCACAGCTCGGCCTCGTCTAGACAGCGAACAGCCGTTTAACAGTCCCTCCTCGTAGGCTGACTGCTGATGCGCTCCGAAACTATGTGAATCTGTGACGTTGTGAAGGAACCCAAGCCCACAAGAGACTCCAAGACTCGTACAAGAGAACAGTAGGCCGTAGCGTTCGAACCAATTATTTGTCGTCATCAAGATCGTCCTCTCGTCGTCGATGCTCGGTCAGTCGGGGATTTTTGTCACCATCTTATCTGCCAATCTATCAATCTGCCAATCTGCGAGCAGCGCGCGGGAGGGCTAGATGGAAAGGATGAAGCCAAATAGGTGCCTCTTGTTGTTGGATCTGCTGCTGTTGTTACGAGCACATCTTTTTTTTTTTTTTTTTCTAGCACCGGACCTTGGACCTCTTCGGGCCTGCCCAGTTGGTTGTTGACCTGAATCAGAATAAAATGTAACCAATACAGCCCGCCTAAATTTATGGCACACCATCCCACCTTTCATGCTTTTCATGCATCTTCCCCGCATTCTCACTAGTAGTATGCAGGTCCTTCTTGGTCCTTCTTGGGCATCTTGCGTGTACCCGCAGACCGCAGGACCCGCAGATCTCGGGAACCTTTTCTGCTGATCCTGCTGAATGGCGGATGGCGGGTGGGGGTGGTGGGTGACAAACGTGGGACCAGCAGATGAAACTCATCCGCGGCCAGCGGCGCATCGGGGCCAGCGGCTCATCCTCACAAGTTGGCACCGCTGATGTTCTTATTGCACATCCCACCAAGCATGTTCGCTGCAACGACGGAAGTGGAATGTATGAAGAGGTACTCGACGGTCGACGGACCACCCAGGTCCCAGGTCCAAAGTCCAGAGCAACTGTTCTCTTTCGTAGACCCATATAACATTCATATGTACCTCGCTCGCTCCACCTGTCTTGTCTTGCCGGAAAGGCTTCCCATGGGGTCTTGGAACTCTTGCATTCGAAATGAAGAAAAGTTCCTGGTAAGAAGAAAAGAAGAAGTCTTAGGTCATCATCTTCTATGTAATGAGATGCGCATTCGCGATGGACGATTGGACCGCGCCGAAGTAGTATCCGCCCGTCCGCCCTATACTCCTGCGCCGCAGCTTGCCCTTGTGAGATGCGATTGACACTTGCCATATGCGGGATGATACCGTGCCGCTGTGCCGTACAACGTTGCCATGTATCTTCCATTCATATCCGTAGTAGGGTAAAGCCGTAGACTGTTTGTACAGCAAATATAGCGCGCTTCTTTACGTTACCATGGGTTGTTCGGCAACCGACGCGGGATTCGACAGGATTCGACTCCACAAAAAACAGCAAGAACGATAGCGGAGAGGTACAAACAGCGCTGTCAGAGTTGCATAATGCATGCCCCCTAGCACGGAATACACGCCGAGAGGAAGGAGGGAAGGTGGAAGAAGGAGGAGATCAACGTCATCCAGGGGGGAGAGAAGAAGGGGAGTGAAAAAGTGGAGGGGTGCCTGAGTAGGATGTCGTTTGAGGGGAGGGGTCTTTTCGGGGGGGGTGTTTGTATCTCTCTGTTTGTATCTCTCCTCCATCTCCATCTATCCCGCAAAGAGAGAGTGTAACACAGCCAGTGAGTATCCCCGGCGTATGAGGGCACTGGCTCACCTTTTCCAGTCATCTCGGCGCAAAAAATATGCCCATATAGCCCCCCATGTCTGCCCACTCGCCCCAGTACATCCACGGCTTCTCCCCCATCGCCTCTTCCTACCCATCGCCCACCTCCCCCCACTCCTACACCTGCTGGCCTATCGAACCCGGCACCCTCTCCTTCCCCAAAGTGCCCATACCCACGTCGACGACCGTGTCAACAGATTCCGAGGCGGGCGCGTTTTCTTCAGACTGGCACAGCCCTTGCCCTGGCGAGAATGCAGCGGCCAGGAGCGATGCACAGAGCCCAAGCCTGATCAGTACGCTCTTCTCGACGGGGAGGTCCAGGCAAACGTCTTCGACGGCATCGACATCCGGCTGGCCTACGCCCATTACGCCTTCTACTACCGGCGGCGTTTTCAGCGCCTCGGAAAAACCCACAAAACCCATCTTGCGACGAGATACCTTCTCCACGAGCGGCGAGGAGGGCGGGCGAGACTTTTTCCAGGGGTTTGATCTGAGTGTGCCGCCGAAAGTGTTGGAAGAAGGGCACGAGGGCGCGGGGAGGGTGGTGAAAAAGAGACCGTCGGTGCTCAAATTCGCCGTCAAGCCGTATCTCCCTCCATCGCCGACTTCGAAAAGCCCCTATGCCCCATCATCATCGCGCTCTAGATCACGCTCGACATCGACCTCTTTTTCGGGTCTTTCTTCCGGCGGCCAGGCGTATGGCGGACGGTCCCCTGCGCCTCCTCGCGTTTTGGGCTCCGCCTTTGACGACGAGTACGATGAAGACGACGATCAGGACGAAGACGAGGAGGAGGATGAAGATGAGGAAGAGGAAGAGTTTGTCGAGTCGCCGATAGCCATCCCGGGGCATGAATCCGACTCTGACGAGGGGTACGTCGAAGACGAAGAAGACGGCTTCACCTCAGACGAAGAAGATCCCAGCACGAATACCTTTACCCTCTTTCCCAAGTTTACCAATCGCTTCACGCCTTTTGCCCAGCCTGCAGCATCCAGCTCGGGCCACGCGCATACTTCATCGCAAGCTACTTTTCAAGGCAGCTCTACCCCACGCCGCCGGGGGCGCACTTTGCACCCTTGTCCACCGAGTACGGACGACTGCGACAATGCCGACGTTTCTGTCCCGTTTTCGGGGAGAAAAAAGCGTTCGATATCGATCGTCACCGACAAACCATCCACCGCGCGGTGTACGAGACATCGATCACCTCCCCCTCCTTCGTCCACCACAGCCGCAACAAGAGAAGGCGGCGGCCTGCCAAAAGCGCCGCCTGCTGCTAGATCACCCTCTGCCGCCGAACTCTGTAGGCGAAGAGGCAGCAATGCCGCGCCCATGTCCGCTGCCCCCTACCCCGGTGGCTCGCCCTCGAAAATACGACTGCCCCAACCGCAGATCCAGACGAAAGGCTGGAAATCCGACGACTCGGCGTTTTATCCTTCTCGAAAAGAACCGCAATCGGCGAGTGTCATCGAGACGAGGAGGGAGCAGTTTCCTTCGCCTCCTCCGTCTTCTTTTGCTTTGCCTTTTGCGTCTGCGGCGGCGTCGAGAAGAGGTTCGGGGTCTGTTTCGGGTACGGGAATGGGCGTGGGGTCGAGTACGTCCACGGGTTTGGGTATAGTCAACAACAAACGACCTTCATTACCTCCTTCCACCACCGCCCCCGCCGTCCCACGCCTCTCCACCACCACCACCATCTCCACATCCACAGCACCCCCGCGCAAAGCGAGCTTGCCGTTACCGAGCGGTGGTATCCTCCGCAGCGCATCCGACTTTGCCCAACCCTCACCCCTCGCTACAGCGACAGGGACAGGGACGACGTCCATCCTCTCCCCCTCGTCGGCGGCTTCCACCGTCCACCCGCATTCGGGGCATGGGAGGGAGAGAGCCATCACGATCAGTACCGGATCTGGACCCAAAGACGGGTCGGACGGGGCGGATCGGGTAAGGATGTCAAGAGGAGAAGGCGTGTCGAGGAGTTTTGATGGGGGGTTCATGGGTGAGATGGATGTTGCGCTTGCACTTCAAGAACCGGCGCATTCGGCGCATTCAACACCTTTGGACAGGGGGATAGGACAAGAGAGGGCGTTGGGCGAGTTGGATGAGAGGATGGAGGTTGTGCAATTCTGAGTGAGTCTTTTTTTCCCTTCTTCCCTTATTGCTTCATGCTGACGATGTGATAGGAATTTCATGTTTCTCGATGAAACGAGCCATCGCGAGGGTGTGGTGAGAGTTGGGTTTTGGAGGAGAACTACGATCGAGGGATATCTGGATATGCGAGTAAGCCTCTCTCTCCCCCTTCAAACGTCTTAACGGACATTGCTGACTTTTGGCGCAGTCAGGATTTGAATAACTACCATGTTGCGATTTCATTTTTTTAACGAGTTACGAGTCACGCGAGAGATACAGACATACAGAAGATGGCTGTTGGCGCCTGGGAGATTCAAGGCTTGCCTCGAAGGGGTGGTTATTAGCAGATAGCAGAATAACGAATTATAAACATACCAATACCAAACCAAATCATACACGAACGTCCAAGTTCCTTCTTTCATTTAAGAGTCATCTTCTTTGTGTGCCCTATATATGGGGAGTCTTATGTTTTAGCTATAGTATGTCATCAGTCATGCATGATACGCTCTGCATTTTGAAACTCGTGATGCTCCAATGCTCGTGTTTGCTTGTCATGCTCTGCCTTTTACGGGCTTTGCTGACATGGTTGCATCCCAAAAAGCGACACTCCTCCCCTTTCTCCCCGATCTCTCCGAGAAACAGAGATGACAAATAAGGTAATCAAAAAAACGCCATAACAAGAAAAGACATATAGGGTTAGGGTTATCGAATATAAGAAGTGAAAACAGGGGTATAAGTCATCGTCGTCGTCTTACTTCCACCGTACGTTGTACGTTGTACGTTGTACTGTAAAGGAGGACGGGAAAAATGGGTGGTATAATTGGGGTATATCGAAAGACAATGGGTATGAGACTATGAGACTATGAGACGATGTGATGGAACTGTTGGTGAATGCGTTTTATGCGATGGGAATGATGATTTGGGATTGATTTTTTTTTTTTTTTGACGGAATGCAAGGAATGATTTTGGTTGAAGGAAGGGCGGTGGGGACTCTGTAAAAAGTCTAGCTAGGAGCGTCGAGGATCATCTCCATCTACAATCCCGTCAGTACCTTATCCACCAAAAACGAAACACCGTCCTCATCATCCCCAACCTCCATCTCCTTCATCTCAACCCAGAACAAGAAGAAAGAAGAAACAAGTGAGAAAAAGAAGGAAGAAGGAACGCACAAACTTGTTATAATCCATAGTAACCCTCCCCTCATTCCCAACATCCACAGCCCTGAACCCCTCACTATAATGTTTCACCGTCACGCACGCCATCAAAAACCTATCAAAGCTTATCCCATCGCCCTCCACCTGCCTTCCACCGGCAGGACCGGCGGGGGCGGGGGTGGGGGGAGGCCCAAAACGCTCTTCGATCTTATCAACCATCTCTGGCGGGAGGGAGAAGCCAAAGCCGAGCAGGGCAGCGTGCAGCTCGGAACGGTCGATGAGGCCCGAGGCGTCCGTGTCGAAGCGGCGGAATATGCCGTGCCAGTCCTGCCGAGGGGGATCAGCTTGGGGTTTTTTTTTTCTGCAGCTTCGAGGGAAGGGAGGAGGAAAGGGGAAGAGGGAAGGGGAAGGGGAAGGGGAAGGGGAAGAGAGACGTACTTGGATATATCGATACAACCCCTCAAACTCTTGAAAATTGATCGACCCGCTTCGGTCCGTATCGAAAATATCTATTACCAACCCGTCAGCCCTTCATTCCCTTCCTTCTTGCTCCTTCCTTCTTGCTCATCCCCCCAACCCCACCAGAGGCAGCAGGCTACGAGGGACGACGGAACAGCAGGAGGAGGAGAGGGGGGGGGGGGACGAAACTCACTCATAAGCATCTTCACACTATCCTCCCTAGCGTCCATCGTAGCATCCCTCGCCAACAGTCTCTGCAGATCACCCCCACCTAGCTGACCAGTGCGCGTCGAGTCGAACGCGTTGAACCTACACCACCCACCCCCATCACATCATCAGCTCCCCGACCAAGGAAAAGTGGAGGGATGGGATGGGAGGGAGCGGGGGAACGTACATATTACGCAACTCGACATCATCCCCCGACGTAGCTGGCCCAGGCGGCGGCGGCGGCGACGTCGCCTGTACCTGCGCTTGAGACCACTGGCCTTGCTGGGCTTGGTGGGAATGCCTTTCTCTTGTGGAGGCGTACGTCGGTTGGTTCTGCGCACTGCCATACTGCTGCTGTTGCTGCTGTTGTTGATGTTGATGTTGTTGCTGAGGGGGTTGATGAGCGTAGAACCCCTGAGACTGGGACTGGGACTGCGGGGGGCCGGAGGAGATGGGTGAACGAGGGCTGAGGTTGGGGTTGGGGTTGTACCCCTGGCCTCGGAGAGGTGCTTGGGATTGGGCTTGTTGGGCTGGGTAGGCCGGGCGGGGGTTGTAGGGTTGTTGTTGTTGTTGGTTTTGTTGGTTTTGATACCCCTGCTGCTGCTGCTGAGGCGGCGTGGAGGTGTACCCCCTCGGCGGGGGGTTATACCCTTGCTGTTGTCGCTGGGACTGGGGCTGAAAAGCAGAAGCAGAAGCAGAAGCATAGCCTTGCTGGTTATGCCCCTGAGCAGAGTAGGCTTGTTGTTGCAAGTTGCCGTTACGAGGACTAGCCATACCTTGTCCCCCATGCCCGAAGCCAGGTCCACCCGTCTGGATCGGCGGCGCATACCCCCTCCCCCCTCCCCCTCCCGCCTGTTGCTGTTGCTGCTGCGGGCCATACCCCTGGCCATGGGGCGACGGTCCCCCAAACACCTGGCCCGGCGCCATACCCGGTACAGCGGCCCCCCTCGGGAGGGGATTCTTCTGCTGGGGCGGCTGGGGGGAGGAGACGTCGCGCATGGCTCTGTTGCCGATGGCGAAGGGGGAGTCGCCGTCCGAGGGCCTGCCCAAGAAGTCTGCCATCGTTGCTTGGTCGTTCTAGAGGCAGAGATGGAGAGGGATTGTTTGTAAGTGGAAGGGATTAGCGGGAGCAGATTAGGGGATAGCGGGAGCAGATGGGATTAGGAAAAGTGTAATGCGCATGGATCTGTGTCTTGTCTCTGCACCACGATGGCTGTGAGTAATTAAGGGGTACTCTACTCTACATGCTGACAGGAAAGACGCCCGCAGACGCCCAGTCAGGCCACCCAGGCCACCTGTAAGCCCTCCTCCTCTTCTTGTCCAGCACTAACCAAGCCACAGCACCCCCGACCAACAAGCCACCCTCACCTCCTTCCGCACCCTCCTCGCAAACACCACCCCGCCCCTCATCCCCGCCTCCCCTGCCCGCGAAGAACACACCGCCAAGCTCGGGTATGATCGGTACAGCGATGCGGCGCTGTTGAGGTTTCTGAGGGCGAGAAAGTTTGATCAGGAGAGGGCGAAGGAGATGTGGGCTGCGAATGAGGTGTGGAGGGCGAGTTTTGGGGCGGATGAGCTTGCTGCGTGAGTCTTGTTCTTTCTGACTTGTTTCTGAGGGGGGAGTGCTGTTGAGGGGTGAGCTCTGCCTCGTACGTCCGAGCCCATGCGCAGCTGCCAGCTATACCTGGATGGTCGTGCGACGCGTCTTTCTACGCGTCTTTTTCAGGCGTAAACCACCTCGTCTCCTCTCTGGACTCATCCCAGAGCATCCCCAAAGCCATGCTCCACCAAAACCCACGCGTCCTGCTCCCAGAGCATACCAGCCTCCCAAAAAGCCCCGCTCGGACCCCCTCCCTAACACCCCTCCCTAGCGACGGCTTCCCCTACCCCGAAGCCTCCCAAGTAATCAAATACTACCCCCAATTCTACCACAAAACCGACCTCCGCGGCCGTCCCCTCTACATCGAGCAACTCGGCAAACTCGACATTCCTAAATTGTACGCCATCACGACGCAGGAGCGGCAGTTGAAGCGGCTGGTGGCAGAGTATGAAAAGTCGTTTAGGGAGAGGTGGCCGGCGTGTACCGAGGCGCAGAGGAGGGGGGGTAAGCTTGCGGAGGGGGAGGTGGTGGAGACGAGTTGTACGATTTTGGATTTGTATAATGCGGGGATTTCGAGTTTCTACAGGGGTACGCTTTCGAGTTTTCACGAGCCGGTGGTTCTTTAACTGACTAGAGGTGTAGTGAAGGACTATGTCATGGCTGCCAGCGCCATCGGTCAGAACAACTGTAAGCCCCTTGCCATATCCCATTCGTACTTTTGCTAACCCTACCCCCAGACGTACGTCCCCTCCCACCCCTCCCACCCCTCCCTTCCCTCCCACTAACGCTCAGGCAGCCCGAAACAATGGGCCACATGTTCATCATCAACGCCCCCTACCTCTTCTCCACCATCTGGTCCCTCATCAAGCCCTGGCTCGACGAAGCCACCGTGCGCAAGATCCACATCCTCGGGAGAAACTACAAGAGCGAGCTCCTCGAGTATATCCCGAAGGAGCATTTGCCGGTGGCCCTTGGGGGGAGCTGTGTGTGCGGGGGAGAGGGGGGGTGTGAGATGGGGGATGCGGGGCCCTGGAATGTGAAGGCTGCTTAATAGGTGGGAGGGGGGGACAGTAGACATACATATAGGAATCATACATACAGAAATAGAAAAGAAAAGAAAAGAAAGCTCAACCTTACGAATCTTGTCATACGTATATATCCCCTTGTTTTTGTGTCAACGAGATGTATACACGTTCTAGACAGAACTTTGCTCTGCATTTTCTAAAGCGATTCCTAGTCATATGGAAGCGCCTTTTCATCTTTCATCTCCCACTCCAGCTCATCATCTGGGACGGTAGCCAGAGGGTCTCGGCGGTTGCGGGTCGCGCGACTAACCAGGACCTCAAAGACATCTGCGAGTAATCGCGAAGGGGTCGTTTGTGTAACGAGACAGAGGTCGGGCAGACCAGCGTGTCCGGGCGTTTAAAGACTTTGGGACGCTCTGGGACCGGGGCCGGCTCCGGAGCGGGGACAGCGGCGCGTTGCTCTTTGATATGGTCAGTCAACTCTTGCTGGATGTTGGCCAGCTGAGCCATGAGGGCCAACATGGCAGGATGGGGCGACTGGGACGACGGCTCCCGCTTTTCGAAAGTGAGATCAAAGTCCTGTATGTGGTCTTGTGGCCCGAGGACCACACGTCTGGGCCTCTGAGTGCCTGTACGCTCAGCAAGCATGGTGGGTTGCTCTCGGTACAAGGTGAACCATATTCGCCTCGCCTGTTCAGTACGGTCAGCGGTGAGTCTGGTATGGGGATTTATGGCACACACTCACCAATTTGGACCACCATTCCGGGATTATGACCATATCGCGCTGCTTGACCGCATCCACCAACAACCTCCCCTCCGTCATCTCAGCATACAAGACAAACTCGTCATAGCCGAGCCGATCGGCTGTGCCAAAGCTGGGATCTTTCCCGTGGGCTACGAGGACCGGGTTCAACATACCGCCCTCGATGGCCTCGCGGATCAGGTCGTACTCCCGAGACTTTGCGACAACGGAGTCGTCTCCGCAGGGCCTGTGGAGCATGTGTTTGGTGACATGCGCGAGGAGAGTGGGTTCCGTGGATGGGTTGGGGAACTCTGCAGACACCATACGGTCAACGTCCTCGGGCGTTCTCGGCTTTGACGAAGGGTCGAGGATGAAGAGGCAATGGGCATGGGGGAGACCTCTCTTCTGAAACTCGATCGTGTACATGTGCGCGATGGCCTATGGGGAGGATGAGTAAGGCATTATGACGAAGTGAAGATATCTGACCTTTCCGAAGATACCCTCGACCGTCATGTCATGCAAGAACTTGTCCAGCTTGAGCTTGAAGACGCGGGCAACGATGTCCGGACGATCTAGAAAGGCCGAGGGCACATGCCATGGCATTGGCAAGCTTGGGCGGCCGCCTAACCGCGAGTAGAGTACTCGTGTCCCGAAATCCTCTCTTCATCTGTGAAGCACTTTTGCTTTTTCGAGCACCATTGGTAGCCAGCATCAGGATGTGGGTGATTTGTCGAATAGAGTGGCCTTGTCGGAGAGCAGTGGAGATGATAGAATTGGCACGGGGGTAGTCGGTCGATGCTATTGCATGCACCAGTCGTTCGTAATGTGTGACTGACTTGGAAAGGCGAGCAACTTTCCTGATCATGTTCAAGCTCCGGAGATTGACATCATTTAGATCTGCGATGGCTTCTCGGAGACGCTCAGCAAGCTGACTGTTGGTCAGATATACATAGGGCGTATGACGCTTGGCAGCCTTTGCCATGCCTTGGAGCTTTTGCATTGCTGTGCCGCCCCCTTCTTGTTGTAATCCCCCCACTATCGACGCCATCGGCCTGAACGGCGCCCTCGCTACAGGCCTAAGGACGAGACCCATGTCTTCCCTGCCACCTGAGATGGACCACCATTTCTCGCTCCTTTCTCCTGTCCCTGGTCTCTCCCATGGGTCATAGCCACGACCCCTTCATGCGTGCCCATGGCTTCGGACTCTTCCGCAGATTGCAGGGCTTGGCGCCAGAGGGAATCGAGTTTGTCCCACGTCTGGGGCCCGAGAAGACTCGGAGGGGCTGTCGTACGAGACGACTTGCTGGTGGATGGGGGCGTTTACTCGGACGCGGGGGGCGGTTTGGCCGCAGGAGGGCGCGTGTCGAGATGCGCTCCACCCCCCTATTGCTAGGGGAGTACCGCAGGCTGGGCAGGGTTCGAACTGGCCGTCCGGGAGGTCGCGAGGGGTGAACCAGTGAGTTTTGTGGTTCTTTTTGTAGTGGTCACGCACATCCGCGTAATGCTTGTTACACAGCGCGCATCGGCCGGGGATCTTTTCGGTGGCGCCCATACCGGGGCTAGGGGCCGTCGGCAGGCCTTAGGGAGGTGGTTAGAAGTTAGAGGGGTCGAATTTAGCGGGGTCGGTTAGGGGAGGGTGAAGAGAGATCGTAGGGCTGGAATTGGAACCAAGCTGAAAGTCCTTTTGGCAGTTTCGATCAAAGATAACCAATGCATTTTTCGAGACCTGATCCCAGTGTCAGTAGCAATACATGGAGAGAGCAATTGGTTGGAGACGTACAATGATCTGATCCACTCGAAAAGGAAGCACTGCAGATGCTTCTTTGGGGCTAATCCGGCCCCATGGGAATGTGGTTGCTACCGGCCCACAGGGATACTCCCACCAGAGACCTTGGCACTGATACCTTCCAGAAGAATTTTTGATAGATTTCCGCCTATCTCCTTTGAAGCGACTCCAGCTGGAGCCAAGAGTTTGAACTTTAGTACTCCATCATGAGCAGATAACGCCTCTCCAGGTCAGTCTTATCTGCCTGGTCGACTGATGGTACATCGGAGAGAATGAACATGATCTGACTGGCATTTGGGCTGGGAGTTCGGTGTCGAGCAAAGCATTCGACAGGTAGGCTGTGGTGAAACCAAAGTCTCTATCTTCATTTTTTTTGTTGGAATCGCTGATAATTCTGGCGGCTAAAGGGATATACATCAGTATATCATCATGGCAGAAAAGGGATTGCCGTACTGCCATGCATGGATCATCAAGTCCGCGCCAGATTTGAGAATCATGTTGACACCCTGGTGGCAGTTAGTGGGAGCATGGACGAAGCAATACCAGATTCGCGTACCACTTTGAATCGACGACGTGGTGTGGATGGGAAGGAATTACACCGGAGGCGGTAAATTGGCCAAGGCACGGGGCTTGTGTTGACGGAGGGGTGGGGCGGATACCGAAGCCCAGAATTGGTGAATGGCTTGGATCAAATAGGGTGGGAAAGAGTCCCATCGGGACAGGGTGGAATGCCTACCGTCCGGTTCTGAATGTCAGTACATCAGGTATGTCTTTCCGGTTTTAGACCTGTGTACCGTCACTTTGTCAATGGTGGTGGTGACGGGAGGCGGGAGTGGGGGTGTGGAGGGTCGGGGGGATGAGGGGGGTAGAGAAGGGGTGCGAGGAAGGGGAGAGGTATTTGCATTTTCCTTTTTTTGATAATGCTCGGTGTTGAGCTTTTGTTGAAAATTACCATTATTCCAATCTAGGTATGAGTCAACGGTGGACTTGAATGTGAGATGATGGTAGACGTACCGAGGAATGTCTTGTCCAAAGTCATGATGCCGGCCTTCATCATGATCAGCCGGCCAGCGGCGGTCAACTTTTTAAGCGTCTCGACACTCCCGTCCTTGCAAAGCCTGTAATCCTTGGCGACTTTTGCTCTCCGAGAAGGGTCCTCTTCAACTTCCTCCTCTTCCCCCTCATGATCCGACTCCCATTCTCCTTCAAAGGCCAGATCTCCCCCACCCTCACCGAGCTGTCGTTGCTCGGAGCTCACGTCGTAGTAGGGGAACGGCACGTTCTTCCAAACGCGGTATTTCTTGGGCATCTGTAATGAGAACGCGGTCAGCAGATGCAGTCAGCCGATGGGGGGTTAGCGATGCCAGTGAGGGAATAGACCCACATCCTCCCATACCGCCTCGTCCGTCGTCACGACTTGAAGCTCCGGGTCCCACCCGAACCCGGACTGTTCGCGAAGGTGGCGCAGGATCACGAAATCCTTGCGTAGCGTGTCCAGCCGGCCCTGTACGGCCTTGACGGTACGCTTGGGCCCGCCCACTTATAACGACCATGTCAGCGGTGGTTTGTCATGAAGATATCCGCCGAACTCACCTTAACAATGAGCTGACGTATTTTAGCCAAGAACTTGCCCACATCCACGCGCTCAATCTTCTCAGTCTCCTCACTAACAATCGATTCATGCGCGATGCACTCGCGTATCTTGTGATACTTGATGTCGATGTGCTTTGTGCGTTGGTGTGCACTTGGATGGGATGCGAAGTGAATTGTCGACTTATTGTCGCAATTCAGTCTCGTGGGGCCCGATGGCGCGAAACCTAGGCTCTTGAAGAGTGATCGTTGCCCTTCTTGTCGCTTTCGGTAACACTCCATGAGATAGCCCTGCCGGAGAAGGCAAAATGGTCAGCGGGGCAAATCATGCAGGACGAGATATGGTTCAACTCACTTCAATGTTGAAGGCTACCGAGAGGACGACGTCGTCGGGAAGATACTGTAGAGAGTGGAAGCCCGCCTCGTAGTGGGCTTCCTGGTCTGTTGACAGCGGGTCCACGCTGGGGCCACGGACTTGAACCCTAGGCCAAGGGCGACGACGGTGCCCCGTGCCGTCCAGGATGACAGGGATGGGGTGGGGAAGGCTGACCGGATGCCTGGAGAGAGCTAGGCTGGCCTGACGGCTGGAGGGGGGAAGGCTGCCCCAACGCCTGTACGGGGGAAGGCCGTTCCGACGCTCCAAGAGGAGCCAATTCTATAGCGGATTCAGCACTGACATGGGGAGGATATAGATCTAAAGCAACGCACCTACACGTATTCTACGAGCTGTTAGGCCATGGGGCAGGGACGACGGGCCCCTCGAGGTCGGGAACAAATTGAGAGTGGTAACCGTGGGGATTAGGACGACCCAGCCGGTGAGTCGGTCGGTAATGACGATGAGGTAGTCGAAACCGCGTGATTCTGGGAGTGGACCAACAAAATCGATGCCGATATCTGCGAACTTCGTGGTTGGAACCGAGAGGGGGTGCAGAAGACCAGGAGTTTTCTGTGTAGTAGAATTGGAAGTTTGACAGGCAGGACAAGCGCCGACAAACTCCCTGAAGGTCTCGCCAGAGTACTGGTGGCCAGAAGTGGTCAGTCACATGGAAGAGCACGCAGCCGTGAACTCACGTCGTTTCCCCGACTGGCAAACATGAAGACCTTGGAGCGGAACTCCAATTTGTTCCCATAGACACTAATGCCGTTGGGTGTGATCTGGTAGGGCGAGGGGGCGCCGTCGCTGACCTCTGCCGCAAAGACGGCGAGGATCGATCTGTACGCCTTGGCGAGGTTGTCAAGGCTGACGGGGTTAAGGCAAACCACGAGGGAGTACTTTGCGGCGGCGATGCTGCGAGGCCAGCGGCTGTTGAAAGAGGACGGGGGAAGCGTGGGGTCAACACCTATCTGAGCGCCACGTCGATGACGAATCCTAGACGCCATTGAGTCCTTGACATAACACCCTTGCAATATGCGCTGTATGACAGTGGAGAACAACTCATATTTGAGAAGACGAGCTCGAAGATCTTGTTTCCCAAGCGTTTTCTTTGCCTCCTCGTAAGCTGGTCGGGTCAGAGTTGCCCTCTCCCCTACTTTGGCGCCATGTTCTGACCTAGCACATTATGAGCTTCCGTAATGATTGGCAAACGTCTGAAACTCACGCTTTGATTTTGGTTGACTGAAGTCTCCCACAGGTTCAACACCGGGAGAACGAGTGTCTTCTTCATCTGCGTTGAATGTTAGTCAATGAACGAAATGAATGTGGGCGACTATTCACTAGCAGTAGTTGTCCCCGTTGGCAGTAATGCTGGTCATGAATGTCAACAAAAAGCCTCTTGCAGAGTTTATCTCACTCACCTATTCCTAGCTTTCGGCACATCACCTCATCTTCCTTACTACCTTGCCAGAGATTCCAATCGGTATGCTCCACCGGGGCCTACGCCAGATTGAAATAGATCTGTTGGTAGGAGGTGAAGCTGACCTCATTGTCGACACACCATTGCAAAGTTGAGAGTCGCATTTCCTAGCTTCTTGCCTAGCACGGGCGTCGGGAGCGTGGCGCTCTGGACAGGCAGGGGACCAATGGGTCGGACTCTGGCAGATGTCACAGGGGAAGTCGACAGACGGGACAGGCGAGGGGGCCGGAGTAACAGCGGCCGCAAGGGCCATAGAAGTGGAGGGCGACGCGGCAAGCAGACGGTGACTGTCGTCGACCCCCCGAACAGCAGCGTACAGGGAGTCGTAGGTCAAGGTAGAAAAGTCGAGACTGCGAACAGTGGGGCCAAGGCATTGAGTACCCCTAGAGATGAACCGTCAGCTTGCTTGAAATCCATGAGTTGAGGAAGAGAAAATACGCACTTCCAATCCAAAGCCGCATGTCAGGATCGCAGTGTCGGGCAATGCGCCGAGAGAATGAAAAGACACGGGGAGCGCACCACCAGATGGGGTACGGACAAAGGCCTTGGGCCAAGGGCGACGTCGGAAGCGACTGCCGTCCTTTTGACCTAGGAGGGTGGAGATAACCGGGTGCTCATCCAAAGGGTTGGCGAGAGACACGCCAGAAATCTATTGAAAATGTCAGCGATGTGCACCAAGACTACTCATCTCATACTGTAGAAACGACCCACACGTTTTTCGACCCCCTTGAAGCAGAAAGTCTTCGACCGCAACTCCATGCGGTCCTGGGTATACCCTATCCCGCTCTCGTTGACCTCGAAGCCCGGCTTCAGGTCCTCCAACTTCCCCGCCAAGGCGCGGTTCTGAGCCTTGTAGGCCTCGAGGCAACGACCCAAGGTTGGCTCGTCAACGGGCGTGATTGAGACGGTTTATTTGGCCGAAGGGAAACGACGGGAGAACCGACTGCAGGCGAGGAGATACGAAGTGGAAATTAGTGCGCGGTTCACAAGAGAACGCAAACAGTGACTCACGTTGGAATCTCGTTCGTCAAACCCGTCACATCGACGAACTGGACGCTGTCGCTCGACGGGTCGAGAGTGTGGTAACCGAGGCCTGGGAGGAGTGATTACATAATTGCTGGTGGTAGTAATTACACTAGTAATTATGTAGTGCCGGGGTTGGCCCAGTACCCGCACATGTGCGGGTGCCAGGTTTGAGGGTCAACCCAACCCGACTATAAGTCACGGCGTCCAACCTGCTTAACCCAGAGCTACGTTACACGCACATTCATACACGGCTGCACGGGAGCAAACCGACTACATCTCAACAGATTAATGCGGGTACTGGGCCAACCCCGGCACTACATAATTACTGGTGTAATTACTACCACCAGCAATTATGTAATCACTCCTCAGTTGCGGGATCATCTCCAAGTTCAACACTCCCCCTATGATCCCCCAACTATCTTCAAATCTCTTCGAATAAAGGAGAGTAATAATACAGCTGAAACGAGAGACAGAAACGAGAAACACCATCCAAAACACAGGGTATCGGGTATATAGTACGTGGGGACTCTGCTCCCCCTCAAACCCTCGCACGTCGCAAAGCTGACTCGCTCTCAGCGACGGTGGATTTTCTCTTCTTCTCTCCGTTCCCCTTCGCCCGCAACCTCAAGTCTCCCATCATCCTGTAGTGCAGGTCTTTACCCAGTGCCTTTGTGAGTACGTCGGCTTTCTGGAGACTCGTGGGCACAAATCGCAAATCGATGATACCGAGCGCGATGCACTCGCGTATCTTGTGGTACTTGATGTCGATGTGCTTTGTGCGTTGGTGTGCACTTGGATGGGATGCGAAATGGATTGTCGACTTGTTGTCACAGTTCAGCCTCGTGGGGCCCGATGGTGCGAAACCCAGGCTCTTGAAAAGTGATCGCAGCCAGAGGATTTCGAGGAGGGCGGCGAAGGCGGCGATGTATTCTGCTTCCATCGTAGAGGTTGCGATGGTCGGTTGTCGCTTAGAAGACCAGTTGATGACTGACCCTATATAGTAGACGACAAAGCCCGACGTCGACCTCTTCGTCTTGAGATCTCCTCCAAAATCGGCATCTGCGTACACCTCCAACTTCTGCTCGCTCTCATTCTTTCCCAATTCCAACCTCCTCTCTTTGGTGTAGCGCACGTAACTCAATACGCGCAACGCCAGCTTCATGTGAACCTCTCGCGGGTCTTGGAGGTTTCGGGAGAGAATCGACGTCGCGAATGCGATATCTGGGCGCGTGCAGTTCGCCAACCAGAGTAGTATACCAACGAGTTTCTGGTACTTGGCTTGGTCGGCGGAGTGGGGTGGAGAAGATGCGCGTCTGCTGGTCGAGGTGAGTTGCAGACACTTTGTCGATGTACGCTTGCTAAGACAAGTACACCTTCCCCCTCTGCAAATCTCTCTCGACCTTCAGTCCAAGAATATACTGCGCGTCTCCCATCTTCGTTATCACCCACTTTTTTTCAAGTCGGTCGAGGATGTCGTCTGCTTCGGCGGCGGTACGCGCGGCGACGAGAATGTGATCGACATAGACCATTGCGATACACTTGGTCTCGCCCTTCGCCTTCAAGACGTACATCCCCCACTCTTCTTCCAACCTCTTGAATCCCAGCTTCTCCATCTGCTCCGACAGTACGAGCCACCACGTACGACCGCTTTGCTTGAGACCGTAGAGTGCTCGCCTCGAGCGCAGGACTTGGCCCGGGATAGAGGGCGACAAGCCTTCTGGGACGGACATATATATCTCTTTGTCCAGCTTGCTGTTGATATACGCGCCCTCAAAATCCCCTTGCCTCACTGCGAGTCCCGCAGCTGCCGCGATGGTGAAGAGTATTCGTATGGAGGTTGTGCGAGACACTGGTGCAAACGTCTTCGACGCCCGGGATCTGTGTAAACCCTTTGGCCACCAGTCTCGCCTTGTATTTGACGACCTTCCCATCGGAATCGCGCTTGATTGCGAACACCCAACGACAATTCACCGCCTTCCTTCCTTCCGGCAACTTCATCTCCGTGAAGGTCTTCTTCCCAACCAGTATCTCCATCTCCCGGTTGATAGCCTTTCGCCATTCCTCTTTCGCTGGCGAGGACATGGCTTCCCTGAATGACGAAGGGACGGCCGGTTCGACAGTAGTCGTCGACATGACGAAAGCTGCTTTGTCCAAGAGCAAGCTTGTCGTCGCCAGTCTCTCTGATCGTCGCGGGACTGGTATGGTACCGTCACCGGCGACTTTGACTTGTGTGAGAGGAACGGTGGGTCTCGGTGGGATGGATGGGATGATGGAAGGTGGTTGCGAGATGGTTGGCGTGGAAGTGGAATTGTCGATACCATGGGTCTCTTCCGACGTCGTCTGAGAGGCTTTTACCGCCCTCTCCGTACCCGGGGCCATTTGAGAGACCACTGTCTTCTCGGGTACCGCTTCCGTCCTCTCAGGCATTTGTGGTGCCATCGGACTAGCTTCCGTCCACTCAGGTATTCGTGATACCATCGGACTGTGGGGAAAGGTACTGCTTCCAGTCGCGTCCGACGAGCTAGTCACCTTAGGCGCCTGTGCGCGGGTGATTGATACATCTCCGACCCTCTGGTCTAGACTCACCCCAGCTGGAGGCATGGAATGTGCACTTTCCTTTCTCGAGTTAAGATCTTCGCCGGTTCCATCCTGCGCAGTAGACTCAGTACTAGTACGTGAATCTGACGTGCGCGTAGGACACACCTGATCATCGCTGCCCGTAGCAACGCTCGTCGAGTTAAGATCTTTTCCGGCTCCGTCCTGCGCAGTAGACTCAGTACACGTACGTGAATCTGACGTGCGCGTAGGATATACCTGATCACCGCTGCCCGTAGCAACGCTCTGCCTCGTCATGGCCGGTTCCAAAGGCCGCTGCCACGTCATGGCCGGTTCCAACGGCCGCTACCACTGCTGCAACCCCGCCCCCCTCTGACGCGCCACTCGGCAACGCCATCTTTCGGTCCAGTCCCATCAGGAATCTCACATCCCCGGACATAACCTTTTCGCTTGTCGACTCGAGCCGTATCTTCCACTCGCTAGCGTCTTTGTCTGCCTTCGAGTCATTGTAACTTCGCAGATGGTATCAAACGGCTTGAACTTCTCGATGTTCGGCTTCCGGTGAGTCCAATTCTCACATCCTGTCTTGCCGTTGTCTGACACCGCCGTTTCAGCACGCAGGATGCGTACTCTGCTGCCTCGTCTCAGTACGCAGGCACAGTCGCTCGTCAACGAGCCTATCATCTTTCCCACGGTTCTATTGAACCTCTCCGCCACTCCGTTCAGTTGGGGAGTGTAAACTGGGGAAAGCTGCTCGATGATTCCTCTTCGCCTGAGGTATTGAACACCTTTACTCCGACTTGACGCTCAAGCCTGGTGATCGGTGAAGAGCTCAGTCGGGACTGAGGCCTGAGAGCGAGTCGTGCTGGGATGTCGAGGACTGGTAAGCCCTCTCTGCTGTTCCGAAGGGTTTTCACTAACTCATCCCACAGTGGAGAGTCAGTTTTCGGAGGTCGACTACGAACCCGTCTTTATCGATACGGATGTGCGACAGAAGGTTGGCGTTGGGGCCAGGGACGTTATAGACGTTGTGCATCCTCTTCCCCCCAACCTCGATATTCCCCTTCTCCTTCGCCTCAAGCGAACATATCCCAGCTATCGCCTTCTCCGCCGTCTGCTCCTTGTCCACCTCGAACGGCATTCACAGAACCGCTGCCTCGTTCCTTCCTCTCCGGGCATTTCCTCGCCAGGTGGCCTTGCTTGTTACAGATGAAACACTTTCGCCTATCTTCGGTGCCTCGCTGTCCGTGGTATGAGGCCGAACCTCTCTTTCCCCCTCGGCCTCTACCTCTATTCCTTCGTTCACCCTTCCCAGATTCTGAACCTCTCGTGCTCTCACCCCCCGACATAGCCAGGTTGAGCTGCTCGACTCTGCCTCTCTGCTGTTCGCCTTTCAGCAATAGATCGGTTTCAGAGGTAAAGTGTCGAGTGAGGCCGATCCAGGTTCTCTCGTGAACTGGTCTCGAGATGAAGGAGCCTCGTATGTGAGGGCAGTTATTGCCCAGCGACATGAAGGACGCTTGGATCTTCTCTTGCTCGGGCATAGGGGCTCCCAGCTGAGCGAGGTCGTTAAGGATTTTGGTAAACCCTTTGAAATGGTGCACCATAGCTGTGGCGCTGGCGTTCGCTGGAAGGATATGGCTGTGGAGCTCCATCCTCTTCATCGGGATCTCAGTCTGGGGGTCTGGCGTATACAACGCCTCGAGGTATTTCCAAATCTCAGTACTCGACCAGAGGTTTGCAAATTCACTCCTCATGGTTTCCGCCACCGTCAACGTGACTATTCTCCTTGCCTTTTTCTCCTTTTCGGCCCACTTCTTCCACTCTTCCCTCAACTCTGCCTCTGGGGTAATGTGTGGGATTCTTGCGCCTACAGGTGGGAAAAGATCTCCCGCTGTCTCCCCGGGAGGGTGGACAATATCCCTGTTTGCCCCTTCCAGACCGTCTACGCTCCTCCTAACCGGTTCCCTCTCAGTACCCTTGAGTACTAGTTTCGCATCCTTCTCGGCAAGGTACGCTACAACGGCGGTTGCCCAGTACTCATAATTGTCGCGACCCCTCAGGGTAGGGATGCCCTTGTGGTAATCGCTGGGCATGTTGAATGATAATTGAGTCTTGGCTGACGGTATACGCGGTATAGGCGTATGCGGTGTGGGGGTATGGGAAAGTGCCAGGAACAGATGACGCGATGGGGAGCTTTAAGGTTTGTAGGTGTGGGAAAGGGATTCGTATGCCTCGTGTTTTTGTTTCCGCTTGTGGGAAACAGGCGGTGGCAAGAAGGTGAGGTGTAGTAGGGGGCTTCGGAATGGGCAAGGAATGCCTCTGGGAGTTCGGTATAGGGTGTGAAGGTGTAGTGGTTGATCGTTCTACGCAGTGCGATCAGGATTTCACTACAACTGAACGGGATGGACTTCCGTTGCGGGGGTGATTTCTCGTCGACCCCCTGGAATGTTCAAAAGACGTTGGTACTCAGCTAATGCTTGTACCCTCTAGTTCTCCTTGGATCTCTTCTCCAATCCCTTCTCTCTGACCTTGCGGATCGTGTTGGCAACCGTGGTCGAGGAGATGTGTCGGAATGTGGCGGGGATTGGCGGTAAGTTGGCTGATAGCGCAACGAGTGCTATCACGACTCTTAATCTGTTGAGATATACACGGCTACACGGGAGCAAACCGACTATATCTCAACAGGACGCCGACGACGCGCAACCGCTCAAGGGAAACGGAGCGACTCAAAAGAGCGACTCGAGGACGATGCATGGGGGGTTATACTTGTAGGTACAGGCAGGTGGGTATCATTGCAAACAACCTCTCGACAGGCGTCTGCAACGACTGGTGTCTACACTTTGGCTTTCGAAAAATTGATTTGAGACGGACTGTTGGATACGGATACTAAGAGAATCACCCCTCGGACGACCCCGACGCGACGGCCAAGCGGAAGAGGAAGAAAGATGGTGAGCGATGATGGCGATGGCGGAGACATTGGCAAAGATATATCGGAAGTATACATGGTGCCCGGTATGGATGAGACCAGGGAGAGGATAGGCAGCGTGGGCGGCTGGGAGCTGGGCCAAAGTCTACGGGGACGGAGGGTGCTCTCGCGGCTATCAAGGAAGAGGGGGAGATTGAGCCTGTCATGAATGGAGAGATTTGAGAGGTGGGTTTGGACACGGGGGGGGTGTCTGACTTTGAGGAGGATTATGATACGGGAGGTTCCTCGTTTGAAGGCTTTACTCGATATCTTTCGCGAGAGAAAGACCAAGTTTGTGCTCGTGGAGACGAGGTGCTTTGAGGCCATACTGGACAAGATCAAGGCATCGCATGAGCCATCATGATTGGAGTTGTATATTAGAGTGTGCATGTAATCAGTATTATTGTACATGGCAGTAAAGCGAAAGATGAGATGGTGACAGTCGGACGCGCCAAAGCGGCATTCCCCTCGAGCTCGGAGCGACGCGTCGGAGACCTGAGATCTCTTCCTGCCCCTCTTCATCCCCCTTTTCCCCTGCATGCTTCCCCAGTCGCCCTCTCTCCTACCCCACTGACATGCATAGCCACCCGGATGAGCGAGTAGCAAGCCCCGTTGGACGAAAGGCAGGGCCATGCGGCATCCAGGGCTGTGCACGTCCCCTCCTGCCCCTCCCACCGCCTCGATGTTTTTCAGATCCCTTTGTCTATCCAACCTCATCTCCATCTCTTCTTCAAGACGGTATAGACACAAGACACGGCCTGTAGAAGAACCATCATGTCCTCCTCGACCACTGCTTCCCCTTCAAACACCAACACCAACACTGCCTCTGGCTCTTCCTCCACCGCCGCGACCTCGTCCGTCTCCATCCCCCAGACAGCGGCCAACGGCGGTGTCACCGTGACCCAGCCCCCGAGTTCTGCAAGCGCGAGTTACTACAAGATCGCCGAGGACAGCTGGGTCACTTTTGGCTGGAACTTGACTAGTCTCTAGTACGTCCCCCTCTCCCCTCCCCCTCCCCACCTTCAATACCAAGAGCTAACTCTTCTCCCAGCGTCCAACCCACCTCCCTCACAGTCATCGCCTCCTGCTCCGCCAACGGCTATACCTACTCCGTCGGCCCCACCACCTCCCCCTACAACGTCTTTCCCGGCAACACCACCCAAATCGAGTGGAACCCCTGGCAATGGGAGCAGAACCCGACCCAGGTGGCGTTTGCGGAGGCGACGTATGTGCTCAAGATTTGGGATGAGAGGGGGGAGGGGGCGGCGGCGACGGCGGGGTATATGAGTCCGTATTCGGGGACGAATTTCATGATGTATAGGCCGGCGGGGTATACAAGTATTGCTGGTGAGTTTTGCTCGCTTTCTTCTTCATTCTTCCTTCTTCCTTATTTCTCCGATTGGGACTGAGCCTTGTATAGACGGATGGCAATACTCGAACGCATTCCATACACTCACCCAGCCGGCGCATCTCATGATGCTCTGCACACTGCTCATCACGCTCCTCTCGGCTTGGGGTATCCTCCGGCGATAGACATTGGGTGCTCTTCTTGCGGTGTTTTCTTGGGTTGTCGAGGGTGAGGAAGGGTGGGCGTTATGGGGGGTCATCGATGCGAGGTGGTACGAGGAAGCTCGGGTAGGTACCGAGGTGAGAGGAAAGATAAGAGTGACGCGTGGTGAACGTCTTGGGTCGGGTTTGGGTGGACTGGGGCGGACTCTTCTTCTTCACGGACCTTTTGTTCTGTTTCTGTTTTCGGTTTCTATCCGTCTACAGCTTTCCTCCCAGCATTCATATTATACGATAATCTTACGACCCCATTTTCTGGTTACGCATGTGCATACTTTACGCGATACAAGTCTCCGGCTTATGGACATTATGTTGAAACTTTTGGTTGGTTGGATGAGATAATATGGATTTGTGTAACGACACTGGCGGGACTCTAACTTACCTACAAGATTTGTCTGGGAAGATAGCATATAACGGTTATGGTCGCTCGTATCTTGGAAGACGCGGTGAGCTCTATACAGTTAAGATGGATTTACCCCAAAGTGCCCCCTATAAAGATTCAGACCGGGAACTGGGAGGCATTGAGGGACAAAGCCATCAGAAAGGTCAAACTCTTGGTAATGGTGAAACCTATACGAGTACATAAATAATCCACCAGTCGAGGCAACTGTGAACATGGCCTCTACCGTTCGACGGTGTGGATGAGAAGCTCCGAGAGCTGTTTTTAGAGTATTGTCGCCATTGACATATCATGGATGTTTGTTCTCGGCTGTAAACTCAACGGTCGTCTGCCCAATCTACCAATCGTCTGGGTTCCCTAGGCTGGACACAAGCCCCTCGCTCCGACGACGCCAGGATGGGTTCCCGCCAGAGGAATTATTTAGAATGACCGGTTGCGAAAAAGTTCTTGTCTAGAATGACCGGTTCCCAAAGTGATTATCTAGAATGGCCGGTCAGGCGAAGAGCTGTATCTCATGCATAGATCAAGATAGAGAGCTGTTTGCGGGCTCTATGCATAGCTCAGAAACGCCGCAATATGCATGTATGTTGAGGCCGGCAGGGAAGGCAGACAATATCCCTTGTATCTTCTTCCAAACCTACAGGTACCCGCCCCGCTTTCGGCAGCGGGTCACCGCGCATCGAAATTGATTCCGTCAGGATCAACCTTGGGCCCGGGTATGTGGACGCGTCCAACATCTATTTAGTATAAGCCACGATCTGATTTTTCGACCTCCTTTATTTTCAAACCCATCGTTCTCGATTATCCCTCAATCAATCATCCTCATTCAAAATTGCGTTAGAGTATCTGCAAGCTTCCCTACATAACGGTACCCTTAATTCTGCATGCATCCTCCCCGTTCGTTTTCCCGCAGACCGTTTACCTTGGATTTCACCTTTCTCACTTTACTGCTCACCCTTTTGTTCGACATTTAGTCGATACATCCGACCCGCTGACGGCACCATTCGAGAGATGCCGCTCATCCCCACCTAACGGTACTTTCAGTTCCACATACGACACATCCTAGCTCTCTCTACCGTCCGTTTACCTCGAACCGCCGTTTTCGCTCCTCACGCGTCCCCGAAACCCTTTAATTCCATCGTTCTTGACTTTTCTTCGATCACTTCTGCTCGTTCTTGGCTGCGTTCGAAAGCTTGCAGTGATCCCCACCTGACTGTATCCATAACTCTCCATGCATCCTCCCCGTTCGTTTCCCCACAGACCGTTTACGAACCACACGCCCCTTGCTGGCGCCTGATCCTCCTTCTGAGACGCGTCGTCGGCGTCCTCCGCCTCCACCTGCCTCCACTCTCGGAAACTTTGCAGTCGAAAGGAAAAAATGTCAACACAACCGGTCGCTTGACCTGCTACGTAGCACACTTCTCTTTTCCTCCTATTTATGTGAACTATCATTCTCTTTAATACACTGCTTGTTCGCTCTCAGTCTCAACGGAACCATGCGCCAATCCACTCGCGCCACCCGCCCTCGTGACGTCTACGAGCCTGAAAGCCCTCCACCACCTATTCGACCTCTTCTTCCCTGGCCCTCTCACCGTCCTGTCGCCAGACCTGTGCCTATCCCCTTTGCCAGTATCAACGGGCCTCAGTCGTCCGATTCTGATTTTGACGACTCCGATGGTGATGACGGTGCCTAACGAGAACAGGCCACGGTCTATGGTGTTCGAAGCATCGTATGATCTTGTATGATCTTGAGTCTGCGGCCAACCTTTTCCCAGTGGTGATCTCTCTGTACGTCGATCCGAATGAGACTAACCCCCCCTATTCGGTTGACGAGGCAATCGGCGCCACTTGGACCTCAATTGTTCATGACGGCAAACAGGAATCTCCCATCCATGTCTACCAGGGCGAAATGGAGAGGTTCACGTCTTGGGCACAACCAGGCAGTGTGTCGCCCCTTTTCTCTCCTATGATATTCTGAAGCTGACACTCTGACTAGGCGACGTGTACTACGGTATGATTCCGACCCACCGTCCCCTCGTGACCAGCCGCCCAGCGTCCATGGTACGGTGGAGTCCGAGCCCGTCAACAGGGAGTTCGTTGTGGAGGGCCGCTTGATCAAGTGCTTCATCTCGCGCCTAGAAAACCCGCTCCCCTCGCTCTGTGCATCTCTATCGACGCCTCCCCCCTCCATTGTCTGCTCAGTCCCAGTCCGCCGCTGCTATGGTGTCGAGGAAGAGCAACGCAGTGGACGATTTGGGGGGCTTGGAGGCCATCGACTAGCCTACAAGAGCACCGTGCTGTTGGGCTATGCTGATGAGGGGATGTCGATGCTCCTCAGGTCTTGGTTCAGAGACATGGAGAACGAGCGGGTGGTTGCCTCCAGCGACAAGCCAGCCAACTTGGGTGCTGCCGCTTCCAACCCTTTGTGTTTCCCAAGACGCTCAACTAGCTTTTCGATCTATCCAATCTGGATGTCGCGTTCACCAAGCATTAAGTGGTCACTTCGGCCGGTCTCATTGGCGCAGCCCTCGGTGAAGAGGACATGCGCTTCTCCAGCAACGAAGCTGAGCTCGCTCATGAGCTGCCGCCGGTGGCGGTTGACTTGACTGGGACTACCGCGTTATCTCCTCATGATGGAATAATACCAGAAGATGACTGACACACAGCGCGAGGTCATCTGCAATTTCTATAGCTCGTATCTGCATTCCATGACTCTCGAATATCTATAAACTGTTTCATGGCTGACACCCATTTACTCATCAGGCGCGTGATCCCTAATAGCTCCGCGCCCAGCGACAAAAGTCTCAGAAGAGCCTCTGGAAGAGCGCGGACGAGAGGTCAGATCCAATCACGCCGGCGTCTTAGGGGGAGTAATGAGGATGTGAGTGGAACTCGACGCATTGAGAGGTGGGAGGGTAGCGTAAGTGTAATGTTAGTAGCAGATTGCATATTAGGCGAATGGAAAGCATCTCTGGACCATCCAAGCGTTGGGGAAAGCAGGTGACCATTTTCAATGCATACCGACCTAATTCTTTCCCTCCTCTGTGCGGATTGGACTTATACCATCTTTCATGGATACAGACATGACTCCGAATCCCTGCAATTAATATTTTTTCTGATTAATGGACTGATAATCCGATAAGTATTACGCGCGGGAACGCCGCGCGATGAACGCTAGTTTTGTAACATTAATCGGCATATCCGCACCCGTCATCCCAAAATCTACAAATCTACATATCCAAAGCCCCGCGCCCGAACATTCACATAAGACAGCATGGCACTCCCCAATCCCTCCTCCGCCATTCAGCTCGCGCATCCCCACCAAACCCAACCATCTCATCCTCCTCTTACATCGACCAGTCTCACCACTCTCTTGCCTCTCCAAGCAGTACATGATGACATCCTGGACTGCCTTTTTGAAATAGCTCCTTGGGCCTACCTCTCTCTCTCCCGGACGATACGCGAACACGGTAAAGACCGCCTGTCAGCTCCGATCGACATTGACGGTCCGCTTCTCTCTCGCCTCCACGATACGATCCAGGGGCGCCAGGACGTCAGATGGCTCTACCGTGTCACTTGGTCTCATACCATTCGTTTCCCAACCTACCGCCTGTTCGCAATGACAGTTTGTCTTCTCAGTCAAGGGGAAAAACAGAAGAGGTACTACTGGTACGGACCTCAACCTGCTGAAGCGAGGTATCCCTGTCGGGATTTTCCGACTCCCCTCTTTGCGCGAGCCACCCGCATCGAGATCACTGTCGCCGACAATGCTTCTCTATCTTCGTTGTTTCAGCAGATCAACGCCGAGCTCAAACTATCGGACTCTGTCAACGGCATCGTTGCCATCGCCTCGCACTTGGCCTCTCACCGGCAAGACTTGACCCTCCGCTTGTCAGACAATCTTCTTTGTACCAATATTGTAGGCGTCTACATGGGCCTTGTCTACTTTATCAACAACGTCTTCCTGAGCTACTCTAATCAGACCTACAAGATAACATTCCTACTCGCCATCTCCGACATCAATTTCCCAAATCCTTCCTCCCTCCCTACTATCCTCTTCCAGCTTCTTCAACCCGCTTGCGACACCTGGCATACTTTCCGTTATGTGATCAGCATCAATGGCCTTACCAGCCGCGATCTTCGTCGGGCTGCTGTTTGGGCTATCATTCAACTCGTCACGGCCGCCACTGGCCGTCGCAAAGGTGGGCGAAGGGCACAGGTCACATTTCAGGTGGGAGAGGAGATTGGCGATGAGGTATGGGAAGCGGTCAGCCCGCAGGTGTCAGCGAGCAGGCTTGCCAGGCTGAAGGACATGTTTCGCTTTGAGAATTGAGAGGAAAAGATGGGTTTGAGGCCCCGGGTCGAAGGGGTAGTCGTACTGGTAAGTCTTGCTGTGTTTTCGCTTTCCTCTCCAGCAGCTAACATCGTGAGCCAGTGATCAGGCGAAGCTTAGATATGTTGCATGTATATTACTCTTCACGTCCTTTAACCTTGGTGTTTTCTCTACTGTATATGACTTCCCAAGCGCATGCAGTATGGTGTGATGACGGCCTTCTTGAAAATCTGGGATTGTGACAACGTCAGACAGCTCTACAGTAATATGGCTCTGTTGAGTGACACATATCAAGGGGTCGGAAACTATGGAGGGAGCCTTTCCAGCTGTTCTTGGGCCATTCTGTCCTATCGTCAATATCGGGAGTTTTAGATAGATGGTCATCATCAAGACGAGAACCAAACACAACAGCGATGGAGAAACACGCGTCGCGTAACGCGTTGAGTGGTTTGTGCCTGCGTTCGGTCCTCCGGTTGACGTGTGTTGTATTTCTCGAAATTGTCATCTTGTTCTCTCTTCTCTTTCATCTCAACCACAGTATACCAAAGCGATCACCCCAGGCCGTCTACGAGACTCGACATGGCGCCACCACGCCCGTCCAAGCCCACTCGTCGAGCCCGTCGATCCCGGCATCCTCGCGATCCCTCGTCGCGTATAGAGCTCACCACCCTCGAGCCTCTCCACCCAGTCTACTACATCATCCTCGACCACCTTCTGCACATGGCCCCTGCCACCTACATTCGCCTCTCGAAAGGCCTTCGCGACTATGGCACCGCGCGCCTCTCAGCGCCGTTCGACTTTGACGATCAGCTGGTCTCGCGCTTTCACGAATCTGTCAAGAAGCAGCAAGACGTCAGATGGCTGTTCCCCATCACGCAATCGCGTACCATCAGATTCCCGAGCTACCGCCTCTTCGCGACGATGGTCTGCCTTCTCAGCCAAGTTGAGCGACAAAAGAGGCGAACGCGCAAGGCGGGAGCAAGCTACCCCTGTCAGTATCACCCAACGCCTCTCTTTGCAAGAGCCACGAGTATGGAGATCAGACTCGACGAGGCTGTCCCGTTGCGCAGTCTGTTCCAGCAGATCAACGCCCAGCTTCAGCTGACAAACGCTGCGTATGCTTATGGGGACATGACTTCACACGTGGGCCCTCGCTTCCGGAACTTGGTCCTGCATCACATCAGCGATAGCGCTCTGTCCACCCTCATCAGAGACTGCGCCACAAACTACAGAAATCGGCACATTTGCGAAATCAGCACATGCCTCTGTCTGTACACCACCTCCCCGGTCTTGACAACGACAGTAAAACTGTCCATCTCCGACTCGCGTTTCCCCGAACCTTCCGCCTTATCCGCCTCTCTCACCTCCCTTCTTCGTTCTTTGACTTCTAAGAAGCCCAGCAAAATCATAATCGACATCTCGGGCCCTACCCACAGTTCGCTCCGCCAAGCTGTTGTTGACGCTATCGCCAAACACATCTCGATGATGGCTGATAGCGGTTATCTTTCGCAAGCGAAGATGATGAGATTTGAGATGACCGGGAGGTATGAGCTATATGCTAGAGTGTGGAAAAAGGTTAGGGAAAGGCGTTATGGCAAAGACCTCATGAGAGTGCTCAGGTCTATCTACAAGATTGATTGAGATAAGGAGAATTGTTGGGCAGGGAGGTTGGCGGTGCCAGTACCAGTAGCTTATGAATATCTATAGCTGGGTAAGTCTAGCTCAGCTTTATCTGCCTCCTCATATGATGCTAATCGATGGTCAGCTCTTTACTTCAAGAACTATCATGCTTCGAAATCACGCCTTCCGACCATCAAATATATCGAGTCTAACGGATCCACAAAATCAGCCTGGACAGCGACCTATTCATCTATGCAAAGCTTCATTAAACTTCATGCTGTATTATCAGCCGTCAAAACAGCCAAGTCGCCCCAGAGATCTGTGTTGAAGGAGGATCTCGCTGATCTGGGAGAAGCAAAATACTCCAAGAAGCGTCAGATCTGCCTTGTCCATGCCGCAGTTCCCATAGAAAGCTACGCCCAGAGATCCTCCCTACGCTCCCAAGACCACCCAAGCGCCTCTTGCTAACGACTTTTCCAGCAGGAGTTGGGAGCTCCAACCTTCCAATAGGCCGAATTGGATTAGATTAGCGGAAGCAAAAGCCAAGCTAATTCACCCGCCCGTTCCTAACTGACGCACGTTTCCCTTCACTTTTTGTTTGTCGCTATTTTTGCCTCTTCGTTCATCTTTCACAAGTATCCATCGCCAGCGCCGCCGAATGACCACAACCAATATCCAACTCTGCGGTCCCAAGGCCGTCAACCCTCAGCAAGCCCACAACTTATGAATCCCTCGCCACAATGCCCTCCTCAGCGGTGCATTCGGTAGACCACGCCTTCCACACTCCCAACCGCCCCTCCGCCCAAAACCCCAACAGCACGCCCACCCCCCGCCTCTCCCCCATACTCAACTACAAGAACCCTGTGGTTTCCCCAATTGATCCGGCACAGCCAGAATTTGCAGAGCTCCTCACGCCACTCAAATTCAGAAGGCGCAAGCTCCGCCCTCGCGCAGATCAACAGCCGACTTCGATCCCTCCTGTCGCCGGGCCTTCCCGCTTAGGGTACTATACTCTAGAGGGCGACTTATACCGAGGGGCAGCACGAGATCCCACCCAGCCCGAAGCTCCGCCAGTCGAAGATGATGCTGTCTCGCTTGGTACTGCGAGTATCGCGAGCTCGAGCTCGACATGGTCATGGGGCTCTGGCAACTTTGATCGTGCCCTAGCAGTCATTGAGAGAGTGGGAGAGGCGCTGGGTGTGAGGAGGGGAAGCACGTCGTCGTCATCGTCGAGCTCGAGTAACTCTGAGAGCGAGGACGACAATCGGTCCCAGGTGACAAGGCGCAGGAGAAGGCGGCGAGGCAGCACCCGGCTCAGCAGGACTGTATCCAACTTGAGCCGGACGACCTCCCACAGCCCAGAACGTCCAAAGCGTGAACAAGTACCCAAGAAACGACAATTCACCCTCCTCCTTCCGCCAAACCCCAAAGACGCCGATATCACCAGCGCCGCCTCCTCCGTCAAGGACGCGATAACGCTGGCGGGGAGCGATAAGAGCCCCAAGCTGTCAGGCGAGCTGAAATACCCACCAGACCGGGTTGTGACGACACCCTCTCTCCCTTCTGTCCTCGACCATATTCGCAATGTCCGTCTCTCCAACGGCCTTGCGCCTCTTGAAGGGACGCCGCCCGCCACACCTGGGCTTGGTCCGAAAGTCCCTGTACGTCGAGGTGGATCTGCCCCTGGGCACACTCGCGCGCCAAAACGGGCTCCAGCATTTGTCAACCCGCCTCTTCCTGCTCGTACACAGTCTAGACTGCACGCTCTTCGGGGCGCTGACACCCCACCCGTTCGACCAAAGTCTGTATCAGATCTGCTTGGTATGAGCCGTCCCGGATCGCCGACGGGTGGACTTGCGTCTCCGGCGCCTACCGCGGCAGGAACGCCGATGGTGGAGAGAGATTTGTCCGGGCTCAAGGCGAAGGCGAAGCAGAATGGGTGTTGGTGGTTGGACGTTTCGTGTCCGACTTGGGAAGATCTGAGGGATATTGGAGAGGTAAGTCTATCCTTGCCCCATTACTTCGACGAATCCGAACTGACAATCATATAGTTACTCGGCCTCCATCCTCTTACTCTCGAAGATGTGCTTCATCAAGATCCCCGCGAAAAACTAGACACCTTCGACAAGCTCGGCTACTATCTCATCGCCATCCGAGCTCTGGACGAAAGCTACTTTAAATACACCCCCGGCTCTTCAGTACCCCAACCCACCACGACCAAAGTCTCTGAGAAACCCATGTCTCCCGAAGAAAAGACTTTCAATGAGAAGGCTACCGCTGAGGAGAGGCTTGCTACGCCCGATATGGAGGATTTAGAGCTTAAGAAAGAAGGAAGGAGACGAGGATGGGGTATGGGTAGAGCACAGGGAAAGATGGTGAGCAAGACTGGGGAGAAGGTGGAGATCATCGAAGATCGACCGGGAAAAGAAGGTCTTGAGGGTGTTGGTGTGGGTGCGGTGAACGTGTACTTGGTGGTTCTCGCCGATGGGATCGTCAGCGTGAGTCGCTCTTTGTTTTAGCTCAGGGCAATGTTGACTTGCTTCAGTTCCACTACGATGACATCTCAAAGCACACTCGCCGTGTCCTCGACCGCGTCCTGACCCTTCACAACCCCACTCACGGCGCCGACTGGATCGCCCACGGTCTCATCGACTCGATCATCGACGCCTTCTTCCCTCTCATCCGATATGTGGATGGCGCCGTGGACGATATCGATTCATTGACGATTGATCCAACGACCGACCCGCGGAAGACGGCGGAGATATTGGAAAGTGTTCAAGCTGCTGTCAACGGCGACCCGTCTGTCAGTGGGAGGCCGGATTCAGCGCAGGGGCGTAAACACAGTTTCGGCGCAAAGTCAACAACGCTTGTGAAGAAACCGTTCTTCCACCAGCTCTTGTCTCCACCCAAGATCCATCTTCCGAAAGCGCTCATATACGTCCGCCTGTTCATCCTTCCCATCACTTCCGCCGTCCAGCGTCACCACGAACGGAACCCGCCAAAGACCGTCTTTGGTCGCTCTACGATGCTCAAAAACATCACCGACGTGCGAAAGCTTGTGACAGGCCTGACAAGGCTTTTGGGTGCGAAGGGTGTGGTGATTGGAAGATTGAGAAAACGAGCGAGGAACGAAGACAATAACGTCGAGGCTTATATCGGCGATGTGGAGGGTGAGCCATAAGCGTTTGCGAGAGAGCGACTTGCTGATCGATATCTCAGACCACATTCTGCTTTTACAGACGAGTCTGTTGCATTACGAATACATCTTATCCCACTGTCAACCTGCCTATCTCTCTCATTTGAGGATCTCTCTTGCCTTTACGCGAGGCAGGATATCTCAATCCATTTTGGCGCTGTCCACTGTCGCCATCTCCGTCCTTCCCATGCAGTTCATCACGAGTACGTTTCACACTTTGTTCGACTTTGTACCTTTGACATGCTGACCTTCAATCAGGTCTGTTCTCCATCAACGTCAACACCCCTCACAATGGCGACAACGAATCCGACACACTCAAGGAACCAGACGGCTCGATGTCCCCCTTCAACTACTTTGGCTGTATAGTCGTCGCCATCTTTCTTGTTGCTTGTGCCATGGTGACGATCATTCGATACTGGAGGTGGTTGGCGAGGAAGAAGAATGGAAGGGAGAGGGGTGTGGCGGTACCAGAGTTTTGGGATGGGTACTGGGGATGGGCGTGATGGGCGCCAGGGCGCAAGGCGTGAGCATTATCTTACATGGACGATACTATTGCATATATCGGGGCGGTTTCGATATGGTCTTATAATTGTAGCATATTTCTGTACGAGTAATGGATCATTATGCATACTCCCTCCAAAAGGGCAAGTCGGTTTCGCAAAGATGAAAGAGGAGAGAGAGCAGATGAACATTCATCCCACCCTTCCGTCCGTCTTTGCGGCGCGGTGATCCGAGCGATGTATGTGTTCAATCAAATGTATCTACATCTTTAACTGTCTTACCATCATCTCCTGGAAGATATCTCCCCAGGTAAGTGATCGGCTGCGTATCAAATCACTGCTCATATCATCTACAGTTAGCCTCCCATTGCAGCTGCAGCGATCCACGACAGATCAAGGCCGTGAGGCAGGAGCAAGCCGAGAAGCATTATAAACGCCGAGAGGTCGCCTGCTATTGTGATTTGAGCTATTGTACCGGCGCAACATTTTGCTCTTGAACTTTCCCTCCTGCTTGACTTCTTGAAACTAGAGGCCGTTTTCGTGCAGGTACATCTAGTCGAAGCTCCATGCAAACATGTTCGAGTCTTCAACTTCCGGTTGACTTCCGGGTATGTGTATTTGCGCCACGGGGGCGAAGGTGATCGTATTGAGGAAGTACGTATGGAGGAAGCTGACGATTCTGCAGATCACCAGCATCGCCCTTTCTATCATCACACCCAATCCTATGATCTACTCTCACCGCTTCGACAACAAATCATCACGCCCACTATCACAACGAGCGTCTGCAGTACTTCATCCTTCGTCGAACCTGGAAGCCGTCATTACTTAATGACAGAGGATAGATTGTGCTGCTGCCACCATCTCTCCACTCCATGGGTTGCCCTTATACTCGCTCTAATCCTGGTACGCGGCTCTTCTCATTACAATTAGCTGGAAGCTGATCAACTCATAGTTGAATGATATCATCCTATCCGCCGCCGCGCCTAGCTAACAAGGGCGTATATTACAGTCCCTTGCATAAGCATATGCAGAGCAGTCTCTAGCATGTGATCAGCTATCATATAACGTTCAGGTGGCCAAAGAATCGACGGAGCAGTTCCGTTTCGGATCATCCAACGTCGCGCACAAACACGTCGACGCGCCATTCAACGCACAGACCTTCTTTGCGCGTCGCGCCGATCCACGTCAACCGCCTTCGCGTCCTTCCCATCAATCTCAACTCTGAGCCTTTCCTTCTTCTCAGCTTATCCCCAGCCCTCATATCTCCAGACTGCCCCTCGCACACATTCGTCGACAAGCACCACCTCGGCGCCATGCCCCCTCGCCGTCGTGCGAAGAAACAGCCCAGCGCAGAAGCCGCCCCCCATCCTCCCCCAGCCCCTATGGGCCCCACCTCTCTCGAAGCTCTGTACCCGGTCCACGATATCCTACTCGACCTCTTCTTCGACATGAAGCCTTTCGTCTTCATGCGCTTATCAAAAATGCATCGCGCATACGCCCTTCGACGAATGTCCAAGGCGGTCGTCTTCAGCAGTGACCTCCGGGAACGACTTCGGGATACCATTGATGCTCGGCCTAAGACGCAAATCGACGTCAGTTTCCTGATCCCCATCTTCTTCGCTCATACGATGGTTTTCGACTCGATGCAGACATTTGGCTTGCTTGCTGCCGACATGTCTATCGTTGAGCGGGCCAAACGATTGAGAAAGAGGCCCGGCTCTCCCTATCCCTTTCATCCTGCTCGGCTTTTCGAGCATGTCAGGCGCATCCAGCTTCCTATGGAGCCCTTTGTTGGTGCCTACGTTGCCTGCCTAGACGCGACACAAGTACAATCGGAGGACGGGAAGTGCAGAGGTCTTCGGCAGAGTGATCTCGGCTATCAGCTTGGTGACCACTTTTCACAAGTGTCCTTCATGGTCCAGCCCTTGTCTGAACCACTGTTCGACGATTCGAACTTTGATAACGAGGATTGGGATTGGGAGCTTGAGTACCATACGAAGTGGATGAAGATTTTGCTGGGCGAAGATGTCGAAGCGGCAGAGGTAGCTTTCGAAGTCGGAAAGCAAGTCGAGGCAGTCATTGTGGTCGACCTGCAGCCAACGTCTCTACCCGGACAATCCAGTTCCACGCAACTTGATCTCCTGCCTGCCGCCCTCCAAGACTTTGTCGACTTTCGCCAGCTTACGTTGGTTTTCTGCAATCTTTCGTCAGGGAGCGACAAGAGTTTTACGCCGAAGGTTCTCGACGAGATTTCCGATGTTATCGCCGTCATTGTGCGACATCGCTTTTGGTGGTTAACGTGTTCCTGTTACTCTCGTCTCGGTGGATTGCCTCCTATCAGAGTACAGCTGGATCATTTCGAACTAGTGAAAGAGAAGGTGTTGGGGGAGGTCGGATCTCCGATCGAAGGAGAAACTCATTGGGCCATCAATCGTCGCGAGAAAGTAAAGGAGTACCTCATTAAGAGCACAGTATTTGAAATGGTGGATGTGGATCTTCTAGGGGCACTTGTTGACGTGGATGGGGAGACATTGAGAGGCGGGGGGTCGGTTTGAGCAGAAAGACAGTAAACATATCGGTATGATGACCTATCGCGGTACGTTGCTTCCGACAGAGACCAGCATTGATCTTGCGCGTACAAGGCTGATAGTCTCGTAGAGTATAAAATCCCTATTGCGACACCTCTAACATCACCATCATCACCCTCAAGTAATCTGTCCCATCAACAATACTCTGTAACATGGCGACATCATTCTTCGCCAACAAACGCAATGCAAAGGTTTGTAGCGTTCACACTTCTATCAAAGATCTGGGCTGATATATCGGGTGTCGTAGACTCTGCTACCCAATGACACTTTCCGCTGTTGATATTATTATCTGAGCAAACCCAATGATGTATATCCGTACAGCCTCTCTTTCCCATTCAATCTTGATCTCTCTCAAAGCAAATCAGCGCGTATGCTATTGACCAATATTGACTCGCGCTTTCTTCAAATGACAGCGAACGTACTTGGACCTCATAAGAACATTCAAGCGATGATTTGAGGCTTGAACCAGGGTGGAGAACGCGTCGACGCGTCACTCAACACACCAATCATCAGTCCACGTCAGCTGTACCTTTTGCGTTTGAACTCATCTCCATCATCTCTTTTCTTTCCATCTCCAATATCCGTCCCCAGATCATATCCCTCTACCTGCGACAGTCCGTCCTCATCGCGCCATGCCCCCTCGCATTCGGGATGAGCAGCCGGCGAACCACCCTCCTTCCTCCTCCTCCCCTGTCCTCACATCCCTCGCCGCCCTCGCCCCAGTCCAGTATGAGCTATACGACCGTAGTCATATCGCCCATTCGAATCTACGGTAATCCCATGCACATTGATCAAACACGTCTTCAGTCTTGACAGCGCAGCTATGACTTGTCATTGCTGCATGATATAACGAACGTACATTGCCCTAAACGAGAGAGAAATGTGTGAGAAAAAAAAGGTCCTTTCTATGTAGTCAAATCGTCTATATCATGTCAAGAAACGTCGTGCGTCTAACGTGAATCTCTCGAGTCAGGCCGAGAAAGGGTAAAGGAAAAGATGATACAGGTACTTGTACAACCATAATCAAAGAAAGAGAGCGCGGTGCGAGAAGAAGTAGAAGAAGACCTCAAGATCCGTAAGGCGGTCCAGCCGCAAAACCAGGGACATCCGGTAACCTCCTCGGCGCCTTGCTTCCCCCCTGCTGCTGCTGAATCCGGGCCTGGCTCCTACTACTCTTCGTCCCCTTCCTCACCGGCTCACCCCCCGACCCTCCACTCCTCTCACTCCTCAAATCCGTCTGAGAAAGGTTGACCCTCGTGCCCCTCCCTATCGTCGCCCTCGTCGATATCGCGCTCGGGGGTTCGCTCTGCCTCGACATCGCATCATCATCGCTCACCTCCCCCTCCCCCCCATCTCCATCCCCACCCTCAGGGCTAGAGTTGATCATCTCCGCAGACCCATCACTATCACTCCTCACAAGCCCCCGGCGCTCTTCCCTCTCCTGCGCATCGTTCCTATCCTTCTTTGACAATGTCGGATACTGATCCTTTTCTCTCCGAGAGGATCGGCTGGAATCTTGCCTGTTGCGCTGATGGCTGGGTATATCGAGCGACAGGTCGGGGCCGGAAGGGAAATGGAAGATGTTGCCGATGCTCTTTTGGGATTTCGCTATCGGCATCGGTTTTGGCTCGTTCGCCCTTGCGGGGTAAACATCATACGGATTCTTATACCCCCCTCCACTACTTCCCTTTCCGAGAACCGGCGCACTATTCACCTGATCAGGCGCATCATCCACATATATCTTTGTCCTACTCGACCCATACCGGCCTTTCGAGTCGACTTCGTTTTCGTACCCTTGTTCGTCTTCTTCGAGTACGGGCGGGTAGAGCGGGTTGGGGTGGTATGTGTGATGGTAGTTTTCGGTCGAATAGGAACGGACGGGAGGGGGAGGGGCGTGGAGGTTGTGAGAGTCTTCGCGGTCGTATTGGTACATGTTGACGATATCGCCGTCGTCCTGCGTCCCAATCAGCTCTGATCTGCGCAAAGAAGGGAGAGGAAAGACATACTCTCGAGTTTCCAGTCCTGTTGGGACTCAAAAAGTGTGCGTGGCTGCTCATAAAGCTCCTCGACGAGGGTGATTTGGCACTGTGCATCGAGATCTGGCTCATCGCATCCGATGGCATCGGGTTGTCCGACACTATCCTCTCATCAGCCCTCCCCACCAAAGGGCAGAAAAAGTACTCACACTGATACCTCGGCATATTCCCCATCCCATGCGTCGACAACCCCCCGGCCCCATACTTTCCCCCATTACTCAACGTACTCCCACTACTCAACCTCCGACTAACACTCCTCGCCCTGATAATACTGCCCACCGCCCCGAACCCGCCCCTCAGCGCATCCATCCCAGGATCTTCCATCCCCACCACATCGCCCTTCTCCACATCCCCCGTCTGGTGTCTCGACGCTTCCATGAGCATCGTGGACCGGCGGTCGAGTTGGGATTCGAGGGCTTCGGGGTCGACTTTGGATAGTTGGAGGAGGGTGATGCCGAGACATGTGACGAGGAAGCCGAGGACCATGGTGATGAGCGTTACGGCGGAGGCTTTGAGGCCTTGGTAGAGGATGAAGGAGGTGATGAGGGTGGCGGAGGAGAAGAAGCAGAAGTAGACGGGGACGACCATGGATGTGCTGTGTTTGTGTTAGGGGGGTGGGTTGGAGAGGTGGGGAAGAGGGGGGCTTACTTGAATAGCTCGAGAGCTTTGTTTAGGTAGTTGATCCTGGGTATTGTTAGGGGGCGTTTTGGTATGGGAGAGGGACTCACTCTGTGAGCAAAGTGATTACCACAAAGACAAACAAGAACCAGAAGAACCAGTTCGTGACCTGATTATCTCTGCGCTTTCATCAGCAGCACTCCCCTTGTCACAACCCAAACTCACCCCTGGATACTCGTCACGATACTCGACCCCAACCCCTGCGTACAGCTCACACTAAGTCCCCCGATCAACGAACAAATACTGATATACGGCAACATGCTCTTCTTGCCCCACCTAGGAGCCACGTAGAAGATCACGACCAGACTGCCTACGATGAGGATACTTGCCCAGGCGAGAAAGCCGGCAGAGAGAAAGAGTTTCTTGAATGCGGATATGGTGGTTACGGATTGTTCTTCGGGGGCGTTTAGGGCGAGGATGACGGCGCCCATTATACAGAGCGTACATCCGATCCAGCCCTATGCACGAGTCAGCTGGGAATGCCAAGACGTGAGGTGACATACAAAGAAGGTGAGCTTTTCTTTGAGCAGGAAATGGGAGAGGACAGCTGCGACGACGACGGATAGCGCGCCCATGGGAGTGACCAAGATAGCCTCGGTGAACGCACTGCGCGCTGTCAGCGCCCCACATCACATATCACGATCGACTCACTATGCCACAAAGTTGCATATCTCCCCGACGATCATCGTGATCATCCCCAGCCACCACATCCAGCTCTTCAAATACGCATGACCTTCTCCCGCTTGGTTCCCATACTTTTTCGTAGAGTTGATCAGACCCTTCTTCTTGATGACAAAGCTGGTACCGATGAGGAGACCACTGCCGACTGCGAGGCAGATGCCGACAATCTTGAAGGAGGAGCTGTTGGTGTTGCCGACTATTGAGGACGAGCTGGAGGTTGCCGAGGCGGTGGAGGAGGCGGTGGAGGATGCTGATATTGAGGAGGACATGGTGGTGTGAGAGGGGTGGAGGGAGGGAGAGAAAAGGGGGCGGGAGTGGGTTGTTGCGGTGTTTGAAATGCGCAACACCAGCCGCTGTGTAGGAACGTTGTTGTTGAAAGGGACGGGATCTGGCTGTCGCGCGGGTCGTTTGTCGGGCGGGCGGGGTCGCGACGGGGGCTGCGGGTAGCGTTGGGGAGGTGGAGAGAATATATACCCCCTGTGGCTGACGAGAAGAGATGGAAGAGATGCAAGAGAGGGATGTTTTACGCGTCTTCGCGTCTCACAGTTGCTGTGCCTCGGGAACAAAAAGAACTCCCGCAGTAGTAGCGGCGCACTTGTCCGCCAGGCACCCTCCGTCACTCGGAAAGCCGGACTGCCACAGGTCCACCATCTATCGTCTCTTGCATCTATGCTTCCAGTTACTATGCCACTCCAGCCTATTAGGAAGGCAGCTATCATCGGTGCAGGCCAGATGGGCTTGGGTATCGCGTCAGTCTTTCATCCTCCAACATCTACTTGACGCCGGATCAGCTGACCTCGAGGCGAAACAGCTATGTAACAGCCGTCCACGCCCGCGTACCTCTCACCCTACACGACCCCTCCCCAGCCGTGCTCTCCAGAGCAGAATCCGCCATCCAATACCACCTCAAAAAGGACGTTGGGAAAGGACGTATGACGCAGAATGAGGCGGATGCAGCGTGGGACAGGGTCAAGCTCGTCAAAGGCGATGGTTCGGGCAACAGCGGGGAGGAGATGGCGAATGATACTGATCTTGTCATTGAAGCGAGTCTCCCCTTTTCAAACAGAGGTGATGTGACTGATGAAAGATGAAGGCGATACCAGAAATTCCTGATCTCAAACTCGGCCTCTTCAAGCGCCTCGGCGAGCTCTTACCGCCCACCGCTATTCTCGGCAGCAATACCAGCTCGATCAGCCTGACCAAGCTCGCTGCGAGTGCTGGCAGTATGGGCGGAGAAGTCGGTAAAGGCAGTGCTGAGAGAGTCATCGGGTGAGCCAAGTCTTACGGGTTTTGGGTTGGTCACAAAAGCTGAATTATGCAGGATACATTACTTTAACCCGGTTCCGGTTATGAAGCTCGTCGAGATTATCCCCGGTCTTCAAACATCCCAGGATACCATAGACCGAGCCACGTCTTTCGGCAAAGCGTGCAAGAAAGGTGCGCCTCCCGTATCTCCTCTTTCCTCGTTATCCATTTCCCGAGGGATGATGGGTCTGACAAGGAGAGGGTAGAGGTCACAACGTCCAAAGATTCACCCGGTTTCATCGCCAATGCCATCTTGATGCCCATGATCAACGAAGCTATCATGCTCCTCGAAAAAGTACGTCCCCCTCCCCTTCCCCCCTTTCCCCTTTCCCCCCTCCCCTTCTTCCCTTCCCTTTCTCCCTCCATTTGTTTCCCTCCTAACCCCACCCGCCCAGGGCATCGCCTCCGCCCCAGACATCGACCGCACCCTGCGCCTCGGCCTAGCCCACCCCATGGGCCCCCTCGCCCTCGCCGACCTCATCGGCCTCGACACCTGCCTCCACATCCAGCGGGTGTTGGCGGAGGAGACGGGGGATAGCAAGTATAGGCCGGCGGGGCTGTTGGTCAGGATGGTGGATGCTGGGTGGGTTGGGAAGAAGGGGGGGAGGGGGTTTTATGAGTATTAAGTTTTGCTGTGATGGGTTCATGATGTGGTCCATGTATGTAGTCTATGTATTCAAATGACCTTGAGAACATCACATATGATCAAGCCGACAACAAGCATGTATTCATCTTCCCAACAAAGATAAAAACAAGATGAATCCCAATCAATTTCAAAATTCTACCCAACAAACACTCTCAACAAGACTACCTCTAACAAGAGGTCTACAATATCTGACAGCTCTAGATCTACTCTTTCTTAAACTCTTCCCTGCCTCGGGCATCGGTCTTGGTCCAGATGGAGATACTTTGAGGGGGCGAGAAGAACTCGGCCCAGCCGTCTATCACCACCCATCAGCTCTTTCCTCTTTCCCCATGCACTTTCCCTCCTACCTCCTCCCTCCTCCCTCCATCGCACAGTCGAACCGCGGAGGAAGAAGAAGGAAGGGAGGAGAAGGAAAGACTCACCATCACCAATAACGACCTCCCCCTGATGCCACCCCAAAACATCCGTCCATTTCTCGCCCTTGTGTTCTTGCCCGACCTCGACGCGCTTGGAGCCGTCTTCGTTGCCGTTGCAGATGATGGTGGCGCAGCCGTCGTGGTCGGCGTCGCCTGTGCGGAGCCAGGCTAGGCAGTTGGCTATCACCCCAATCAGCTCTCGTCACTCCCAAACCCCAACATGGCCATAGATTGCAGAGATGGAGAAAGAAGGGTGGGACTCACGATGATCCCAATAATCCCTCGTCTCCCCATAAGCAAACAACTTTCTGCACCTAACCAAATCCTCCAACTGTCCCACCCCCTCCTGCGGGTCTTCCCCACCACAGCCGTAGAGATCACCGTAAAAGACACAGGGGTAGCCGTCCGGGCGGAGGAGGATGAGCGCGTAGGCGAGGGGTTTGAAGGTTGGGGAGACCCAACGTTGGAGGGATTGGCCTTTTTGGGTGTCGTGCTATAGAGGGTGGGGGATTGAGTGGGGAAGAATGGGAGAGGGGAGGGGAGGGGCGTACGTTGTCGACGAGGGTACTGAGATGGGTTAGTTGACGATCAAGGTGAGGAGGTAGGATACTTACACGGCATCGATAGGTCTCCTCTGGACCAGAGACCCGTCGAAGATCTTGCGCAGATCGTAGCCCTCTCCAGCTTCTCCAGCTTGCTACACCTCCCTTCAGCTTCCACCCTCCTTCCACCCTACCATCCTCCTACCACCATCCATCAGAGAAGAGGAACTCACATAAAAGTTGTCCTGCAAACACGAATCAAAACACGAAAACTGCGTCCCAAGCCCCTGCAAATAACTCTCCAGCGCGTCCACATCATCATGCCAAAACTCGCCCACACAAAAGGCCTTGCTTTTGGCGCCTTCGCCGGAGCGGATGTGTCTGACGAATTGGGCGATGAAGGATTGGGAAATGTGTTTGACGGCGTCGAAGCGGAATCCGTGGGCGCCGGTTTCTTGGAGGACCCATTTGCCCCATTTGCTGGGAGACACAAGTCAGCTTGGTGGGGTAGGAGAAGGCGAGGGGCAGGGGGCGTACTTGAGTTCGGCTTCGGCTTCGGGGTGAGAGTGGTCGATGTCGGCCTTGATGAGTGGTCAGCTTTGTCTCGGCGCTCTTGACTATTGCCACTCACAAACATGAGATAGTCGAACGACCCGTTCTCCTTATCGACATCCGTAGCCCAGTGCTTGCCCTCACCTTGGATCTACCTCTCCATCAGCTCAACCTCTTCTCATCCAAATAAGACCCACCTTGAAGATCGCATTAGTCTCGGTCGCAGCATCATAGTCGACACCAGTAAAGTGGTTAAAGTTCCACTTCATATCACTATACTTGTCGCCCCTCCCTGGGAAATCGAATTTGGTCCATCCTTGGATATTGTGCATCTCCCCGACTTCTTTGTTTCGGTTACCCTGGTCGACCATGGTAGCGAGAAACTCTTCCTTATCGTCCGCACCCGCTCTTCATTCACGTCAGTAACACTCCTGAAAGGAGAGGTGGACGTACTTGTGGTTCATGACAGCATCAATATAAGTGATGATGCCCTTATCAGCAGCCGTCTTGATAGCTTTGAGGAGATCCTCCTTCTTGCCCCACTTGGTGCCCACGGAACCCTTCTGGTCAAACTCTCCGAGATCCCAGACGTCGTAAATGTCGTAGCCGGTACCCTCCGGGCTGGAACCTTTCGTGGGGGCTTGACAACGTGTCAGTCGTGAACATGATTGGGGATGGGGGGACGTACGAGGGATCCAGCAGGCGGTGATACCCATACTGGCGAGCCGGTCGCTCTCGTCTTCGTACTTTTTCCAGTGTACGCCGCCTCCGGGGGCGTACCACCTGTCATCCTGTGAGCACTTGTCAAACGTATTAAGGAGGATGCTCACTCAAAGTACTGCATCATGGTAAAGTTCCCTGGCAAACAAGTCAGCAACATGGGCCATACACGTGTCAAGGAGCATACCTGGCTTGCCGCGGTGTTCCTCGTTCGCATGGTGGGCCATCTTGGTTCGTGAATCGTTCGTAGGGATGAGGAAGAAGAAGAAGAGATGGGATATGGGGTATTTATACAGCCCAGCGAGTCCCCCAGCCCCTGGATAGTTTCTAGTTTCGTGCCCGCCGTGATGGGCCGAGATGCGATTGGATCTGGGATGCCGTCATCATCGAGGCGCCGTTATCAGCGGAACCAAATCCAGGGACAAGGCACATCATCCGTCAAGTCGTGTTTTCGAGTTTGTTTCGAGTTGTTCTTGAGTTCTCCACGCCAGCACATGATGGCCATCTCCCCCATCGACACATCCCTCTCCTTCTCCCAGCCCTCCCTCCACCCCGTTCTCACCATCGCCTACACCCTGCCCCCGCCCACCGACAGCTGCACCCCCGCCGCATCATTCGCCCTCACCCTGCCTGACGCGCTCTTTGTCGACCCCGATGAGCTTGGAGGAAAGTGGCCTATAGCAGCAGAGCCGGATGAGGTTGGATCTGATGTGTGGATATGGGCGCTTGAACCGTCCTCTGTGGATATCGAGCGGCCGTATTCGAGAAACTCTGCGCACCACACTCTCCACATTCGGCTGTATCCAGCTGCGAATATCAAAGAGCAAGAGGTGCTAGAGGTCCCACTACATGCGAGGTATCTTCCTCCGAGCGATCAAGGGGAGCGGACGCTCGTGTTTCCCGGCGAGGACGGGAGTGGGCTCCAAGCGGGCTGGGTCTGCGCAGAGTCATTGTCTGGTACGTATCACCACGCATGCTCTTCTTGACTGACAACCGGTACAGACAACATAAAGGCTCTAGAACTCCCACTCGTTCATCATCAGCCCGTGTCTTTGGCATTACCAACCGGCAAACACGCACACCAAGAATTTGTGGAGCTAGTCACGCCGGTTGTGATCTGGTTGGGATGGGCTTGGATCATGTGGAAGCTCTGGGGGTTGACGAAGAGAGGAACGAAAGTTAAGACGTTATGATTCGCGAGCACTATTTGTATACATGTACACTACATCCACGACAATCACCTACCAAAAGACCACCATCAACCGACGACGATAGCCAGCTACTGTCGTACTAGCCGCCACTGCGCTCCGCAACGGGGGCGGGAGGGACTATACTCAGTCCGGGTAGTCCACGGTGACGTTGAGCATCGCCATACATATCCGTCGGCGCTCGAACAGTAGCCTGTGCCTCATTGAATTCGAGAACGCGCGCCTCTTCTCAGACGATGAAAGAGGTGATAAGGAGTCGGAAGAGGAGATGATGCAGGTGATGGACATGCTGGAGCTGCTGGAGCCCGAGGCATGATGGAGGAGATTGTAGACTTGTTGTAAGAAAATAGGTGGTCTCTTGGTTGGAGTGATCTGGCTAGGATGAGTTTGGATCATGTGAAGCTCTTGGGGTGGACCAAAAGAGGAACAAAATTCAAGATGATAGGCGCGATCCCGCGACTGCTTAATATTTACGAGCACTATTACTTGTATACATGTACACTATATCCATGCCAATAACCCACCAAAAGACCAATATACAACTCCATCAGAAAGAAACGACTCAGTTCCGACTGCTCCTCGAGCCCGCAACGCTCTTCGACAACCTCGACACTGTCAACCTCCCGCCCTCCGGCTGTCTTCTCTGCACCTTCATCCGCCCAGAAGCGCCCAGATTAAGACCTTGCACGCCAGAGTCGAGTGACTTGTAGGCACCGATCTCGGCTTCGAGGGCGTTGATCTTGTCGTAAGAGATGTTGAGCATCTGCCTTGTGCCGGCCAATTCCTGTTCATCCCATTAGCGTTTTGCTCAAGGGAGCGGTTGAGAAGGGGCGTACCTGCTTGACTTCGACCATCTCTCTCCTCAACCCTTCCACATAGCTGATCTTTTGCACTTCATTTGTATGCCCCGCCAGCTCGGCATTCTGCCTCGTAATATCTTCTGCTTCTTGAACAGCTGCTTGCTCACGTGCTATGAGAATCTCATGTTCCTCCTGCAAAGCAGTGTAGAGAGACTCGTATTTCGATGCCTCGAGGTATACTTCTCGCAAGCTATCGGCTGTCAGCTAAACCCTTGCTTGACGTGCGACAAACTGACTAATCAATCTCTTCCACCAAGCTCTGCTCAGCAACCTTCGCCCTCATAACACAATCATTCGCCCTTTTCATCCCCTCACTATCCTCTTTCGCCTTCATCTTCAACATCGCCACCTCTTCCCTGAGCCCTTCAATACTCTTTGTATTCAGCGCACACTCCAACTCAGACTTTTCCAACTCGAGCTTGATGCCCGCACAAGGCTCATGTGCTCTCTCGAGGGAGGCGTGGGCGGCGTGGAGAGAAGCGTGCTCGCGTTTGAGGTCTGCGAGCGATGATTGGGAGGAAGTGAGGTTTGAGGTAGTGGTGGATAGTTTAGATTGGAGGGAAGAGATGTCGGAGGTAAGAGAAGTGATTTGGGGGAGGAAGTGGGATGTGATGAGGTCGGAGTGGGATAGAGCGAGTTGGATAGCTGGTGAGGCGCTGGGAAGAGGGTCGAGGGTGGGGATTGAGAAGTCGCTTCGTTGCTCAGAGATGGAAGCGCCGATGAGACGGTCTATCTCTTCTCGCAAAACTGCTGCATCCTCTCTCATCGTATCGAATGCCTCGCCAAGGACATTCTTCTCCTCTTCACCCACTTCAAGTCTTTGTTCCAATTCCTTGATCTCCTCCTTCTTCATCCGTAGCTCTACCCCGCGAGTCTCCGCCTTGAGTCTCCAGTCGGCAGCTTCATGTTTCGCCCGGAGATGTTCGTATTGGAGGGTGTCGAAAGAAGTCTTGGGCACTGTCGCCATATGGTGGAGAGCGTACGCCCGAGCAGAGGCGTCCAGCAGATCTTCTAGTTGTTCGCAACGCCCTTCTTCCTCTGCCAGCTGAGCCTCAACCCGCTTCTTATCTTCCCCAAGTCTCTCCACCTCTTTATCCCTCCAATCCCTCTCCCGCCTCACCATTTGGAGATCTATCTCCAAGCTTTTCATTTGACCGTCCATCTTGATTCTCAACTTCCTCAATTCAGCGTCCCTCTCGAAGACTGTCTGACGCTTGGCGGACAGTTTGGCAGATGTCTTAAGAAGCTCCGCTTTTGCGGATGAGAGTTGGGCGGGGTAGTCGTTGAGAAAATCGGAGGTGATGGATTGAGCTGGTTGGGAGGAACGGATTTGACTAAGCTGAGATTTGAGGGATTCGTTCTCGTCTTTCAAGCTTTGAACTTCCGCATTGGCGATGCTCGTTGCTCGTGCGTCCTTCGGACATGTGTCAGCCCACCTTCCCGGAAGGATACATTGGACAACGCACCTCCTCCATCTTCTTGTCCTTCTCCTCAAGTTGAATTCGGAGGCTGTTTCTCTCCTGCTTGACCTTTTTCGCATACTGTTCCCACTGTGTCGATCGTCAGCGACGCCTGCCCAACGCCGACAAACGCCTGCCTACTTCGTGTCTTTTGGCTTCGTGGCCTTTAGATGCTTGATGGCGAGCTTCAAGGTCATCAAGCTGTTTTTGAAGGTTGTCAATGATACTGGGGTTTGGGAGAGCCTGTATCTGGCTTTGAAGCTGCTTGATGGTGGCGTCCCGGCGCTCAATCTTGCTTTTGGCTTTGGCGAGCTTCATCCAAAGTCAGCACACGTCAAGTCCCAATAATTCTATGCACATCTTGACTCTTTTGCTCAGGCAAACGGTGCCGATATTTGACTGTTTGGCTGTGGACCACATCGGATATCAGCAAGAGCACTAAGCTAGACGTGTAGCGACTCAGACGCACCTGGGGTCGTTGTGATCAGGATTGACATTGTCGATGGGCTTGGCCACGAGTACCGGGCGACTCGGCGGATTGGCAGACATCTTGCTGTTGCAGGTTAAAGTTATTTCAATGTATAGATGTTCAAGAAAGACAATTATGTACTCTTGTTGACATGTTTGGCTCAGCGCTGGCCGCGGTGAGACCTCCACTCCGGGATCGTACCTGAGATTTGATCCCGCCAGAAATCTTCCACAAGTCTTTCATCTGCAAGTCATTGGAATTCGAGGATATACATTTTGAGTCTCGCATCGACTCTCGCCATAACTCAAAAGACTTCGCCATGAAGTCCAACTTCCAATTCCAAAACCTGTGCGGTACCGTCTACCGACAGGGCAACGTTGCTTTCACACCAGATGGAAACTCGGTTTTGAGTCCGGTCGGCAATAGGGTGTCTGTCTTTGACTTGGTCAAGTGAGTAGACGTATCTTTGTCCGATCATAGCTGACGCACGATAGCAACAAGTCGAGAACTCTTGGTTTTGAGAACAGGAAGAATATTGCTACGATCGCGCTTTCGCCAGATGGCAACGTGCTCATCTCTGTCGATGAAGGTGCGCCCTCCCAAGCTCGGTGTCTTCTCAAGCTAATATCATGCAGATGGTCGAGCTCTTTTCATCAACTTTAGAAAAGGAACCGTCCTCCACCACATCAACTTCAAGCGCCACGTCAACCACGTCTCCTTCTCTCCCGACGGAAAATACATCGCCATCACCCACGGCCACAAGGTGCAGATCTGGAACACCCCCAGCCACCTCGTCCGAGAGTTTGCACCCTTCACCCTGCATAGAGAGTACACTGGACACCACGATGATGTGGTCAGTGTGTGCTGGTCCAAGACATCTCGCTACTTTGTCTCGACGTCGAGAGATATGACTGCGAGATTGTATACTATCAACCCCCTGGAGGGCTTTACGCCAAAGCAGTTTGCGGGACATAGGGATATGGTCATTGGTGCTTACTTTTCTTTGGACGAGAAGACTGTGAGTCATATCATTGGAAAGCTGTTGACCGCTGCTGAGACTCTGGATAGATCTACACAATCTCCCGAGATGGCGCGGTCTTTGTCTGGAAAGCCAAGAAGGGTGTCTCTGACGAGGATTCCGACGTCGAGCTCGACATCCTTGACGCCCCCACCACATCCACATCCGCTGCCAACCTCGCCCTCGAACACACCGTCGCCTACTCTCGCTGGGGTGTCCACTCCCGACACTTTTTCAACCAGCCGGGCACCAAGACTGTCTGCGCCACATTCCACCCCAAAACCTCCCTCCTCATCGTCGGGTTCTCTTCTGGTGTCTTTGGTTTGTGGGAGATGCCCGACTTTTCGCCAGTCCACACCCTGTCGATCTCCAACGAAAAGATCTCGAGTGTCGCGGTATCGCCTTCCGGCGAGTGGTTGGCGTTCGGAGCGTCCAAGCTTGGCCAGCTGCTTGTCTGGGAATGGCAAAGTGAAAGCTACGTGCTCAAACAGCAGGGACACTACTACGACATGAACACCCTCGCATTCAGCCCAGACGCTCAGAACATCGCCACTGGTGGTGAAGACGGCAAAGTCAAGCTGTGGAATGCTACCAGCGGGTACTGCTTCGTCACCTTCCCCGAGCACACTGCGGCTGTCTCTACCGTCGAATTCTCCAAGCAAGGTCAGGTCCTCTTCTCTGCCTCCCTCGACGGCACAGTAAGGGCCTACGACCTCGTGCGATACAGAAATTTCCGAACCTTCACATCCCCTTCCCCCGTCCAATTCTCCGCCCTCGCCGTCGACCCCTCGGGCGACGTCGTCTGCGCAGGCTCGCAAGACTCTTTCGAGATCTATATGTGGTCCGTCCAAACCGGCAAACTCCTCGATATCCTCACAGGCCATACCGCCCCCATATCCAACCTCGCCTTCTCGCCTTCTGGTAACCAGCTGGCATCGTCTTCTTGGGACAGGTCGGTGCGATTGTGGTCCGTGTTTGGCCGTTCGAGGGCGACGGAGCCGATAGAGTTGTCTGGGGAGGCTACGGCGCTGGCGTTCAGGCCTGATGGAAAGGAGATCTGTGTTGCTACGTTGAATGGAGAGCTGTCGTTCATCGACATTGAGGAGGGCGAGATCAAGTCGGTCATAGAAGGTCGCCGAGACATCTCAGGCGGGCGTAAGATCGACGATCGCCTGACTGCCGGCAACAACGCTGCGAGCAAATACTTTAACAGCGTCACCTACACCGCCGACGGTGCTTGTGTCCTCGCTGGAGGAAGCAGCAAGTACGTCGTCATCTACGACCGTGCTGAGGGCGTCATGATCAAGAAATTCCAGATCAGCGAAAACTTGAGTTTGGACGGGACACAAGAGATGTTGGATTCGAGAAAGATGACAGAGGCGGGAGCTATGGACACGTTTGACAGGCAGGGTGAGGAGGAGGACCTCGAGGATAGGCTGGATTCCACTTTGCCCGGTGCTTCCAAGGGTGACCTCTCCAAGAGACGGTATAGGCGGGATGCGCGTACCAACTGCGTGCGATTCTCTGCTACTGGCCGAAGCTGGGCCGCTGCCAGTACCGAGGGTCTTCTCATCTACTCTCTCGATGAATCCACCACTTTCGACCCCTTCGACCTCTCCCTCGACCTCACTCCCGAATCCACCCTCCAGACCGCTGCCCAAGGCGACTACCTCATCGCCCTCATCATGGCTCTCCGTCTTAACGAAAAGCCCCTCATCCAGCGTGTGTATGAGGCTGTGCCGCCATCATCTATTCGACTGTTGGCGAGGCAGCTGCCAGAGGTGTATGTGGCGCAATTTGTCAAGTTTGTCAGTGACCATATTGAGGCTACGCCCCATGTGGAGTTTGACTTGATGTGGACGGCGGCGATGTTGACTAGCCATGGAAGATATCTGAGAGAGAGGAAGGGTGAGATGGCGGCGACGTTGAGAGGGTTGGTCAAGGGACTGAACGGGCTCGAGGCCAGTGTAGCCAAAATGTGAGTCTCTCTGTTCATCATCGTATACTTCAAGCTGACTCGGGTCCAGATCCGATGACAACACCTTCTCGCTAGACTACATTCTCTCGCAGGTTGGCAAGAGCGAGCAGGCGAACGGGTTTGAAGGAGAAGGAAGCGCTTTCATCTTGGACGTTGAAGGTGTTTGATATATATATGCACACAAACTATGACAGTTTCGATAGTAATGTCATCTTGATAACGTGCTAATCCCTGATTTCTCGTTACAATCATTTTGTCTCCATCTCCGCCTCCAGCTCCTTCACTCAGCCGCAGTAGTTTCGTGCCCTCGAAATCAATCAGGCACAAGCTGCCGTCAGAGCGCCCGTGGATACGTCCGCAGACTCTGCTCCGCCTCTTGTAGAAATTTTGCATGGCGAATCTGCAAGAGTACCGATCAGTGGTGTAAGGAGCGCGCCATGCATGTAACTCACCAGGTCTCACGAAAGAGCGGACGTAACTCCATGCCTCTGCTGCAGACAGCATCGACGAGTTTCTTCAAGTCCAGAATGTATTGTCCATCTCCTCTCACTCTGCGTTTGCATGGACTTCAGGAGCACCAAAGTACCTCGGTACAGTTGTGCCCTGCAGGGAAGACAGTACCCTAGCATAGAATCCCGTCTCCCTCTCCCAGGCCCAGACCGAGGGGCGCCAGACCGACGTGATCCGGTTGAGCTTTTTGTGATAAGAAAAGCGCCCCGGCGCATAGCGCTGAGGAGAATGGTGTAGGGCGGGCTGGGAAAGATGCAAACCTTGGGCACCTAGAGGCACATCGGACCGTCCTTCCCAGCACCTATCTCTGATGCCTGTCTCTGGGTGATCTGACGGATGCCCAAGATGCCGAGCGCCATAGGGTCTATCGTTGTCGTCGAGGCAAAGAGGAGTGGCAAGAGCGGGTTGGGGAGAGAAGGCGGGTGAATAGGGAGTGGGGAGTTGGTGTGAGAGTGTTGGTGTGAGTGTGGGAGGCGAGAAGTGAAGTTGATTGTGTTGCGGGTATATCTGCCGTGGTGTGATGGTGTACTAGTTGATGCTATGTACGACCGAGACAGCCACTAACATCGGCCGTGGACGTTTTCGAGTCGAAGAGATTCCCTGGCCGAGCGCCATAGGGTCTCGTTCGAATGGGACGTAGGCCTTGAGCTCCAGAGTAGTAAAAGTACACTGTTGCCGAGAAGCGTGCGCACAAAGATCTTAGGGAGGAGATTGCGAAGAGGATGTTCGCCGATTGGTAGTTGTGGCGAGTAGGTGTATCAAGTAGCTTTCCCCAAAGTTGAATTGTTCTGGACAACTGCTCTCCAAAGTTTACATACCCATTCACATCAAGCCTGGCCGGAAGGCCCCACCTCGTGTCCCGATGTATATCTCCCCTGCCCACCGACCGATGCGGAGTTGAATCCCGAGGTGTATTCTAGGACAAAGTCAGCAGCGTACCGAAGGTATTTTGGGTTTTGGGGGGGATGTACTCACGGCCGGTGCCAGATGCCCTGCTCGGCATCTGATACTGCCCCATGATGTACTCACGGCCAGTGCCAGAGGCCCTGCTCGGCATCGGATACTGCCCCATAGGGCAGGAGGTCCCGTGAGCATGGTCATGGCCAGGTATAAAACCACCAGTCAGGAGCCCTGGCTGGTGATAATTGCTGACGTGATAAGGGGGGGGGTGTTGACGGTGCCAGTCGCTCGCACCGACCTCACGCACATCTGCAGGACATCGTTGGTTATGGGCCCGGGGTGGCGGGAGAGGCTGACAATGGAGCGCGCATCGGCCGGATTGCGCTGGGCGGCTCCCAAGAGGAGTAGCACGTCGTCGAGGGAGATCACATCCTCGACGGCCTTCTGCTGGAGAAACTCCCAAACAACATCAGAGGATTCCTGCATAACACGTGCCCTTGCCTGCGCGTTCGGCTCCCTCCTTTGAATGATGTCGATGATGACCTGCACAGCGTCCTGTTCCTGGTCGATTGCGGCCGCCTTGCGCTTGTTGCGGCTCGTAGTTGGCGAGGGCTTCAAGTCGGAGGACTTGGGGGTGGACGCGAGGGACCCGGTCGAGTCGGTTGCCGAAATGTGGCGGAGTGAGGGTGTAGGCGCCGAGGCGGGGGTCCCTTGCATGTCTTGGGAGTCCTGCGTGCACGCATGTCAGCTGTGGACAGACATGGCGCAAAAGGGACGCGAGCGAGAACTTACCTCCTCGTCAGCCCACTCCCAGGGGGGAGACAGGCCCTCGCCCTCGATGACGTTGCCCATGGGTGTCTGGGCGTCACCTTGGGAAGCCAACGGGTCGAGCAATATGACAAGCACACCTTCCCCGGTCGCACCGCCGCCGCCCTCCTCGATCTCCATCATCACGTCGTAGTAGGGGAACGGCACGTTCTTCCAAACGCGGTATTTCTTGGGCATCTGTAATGAGAACGCGGTCAGCAGATGCAGTCAGCCGATGGGGGGTTAGCGATGCCAGTGAGGGAATAGAC